GTCCCCGTGTGGTTTTGGCTCCGCCGTGCTCTTGTATCGCGCCACTCTAGGTAGTCGGTACATGCACATGTACTTCAGCTGAAGTAAGGTTCAATGTACTTTTCCTTCGAATTGAACAGATGACCTGGACAGACTTTGGTCCGTGCTTCACATTCAACGGGGGAGACGACAGGCAACCTGGGGGTGGTGAGTCACCTTACGTGGCAAATGACTCCACCTCGGAAGAAGGATTGTGGCTGCGATTAAACCTTGAGCAACACGAATACATAGCTACACCGTTCGATACGGCTGGATTTAGGGTAATATGTCGCTTCTGTGGTGTGCCTTGAAAATTCACAATGGGCATGCAGCATGCGCAAACACATTGTAATGGCTACAAGTTTTCGATTCGACAGATTCGCACCCATAACCCTTTGCATGCTACGTTAATGTTTTGTAAGGGCGTACGCCCCTTTACAAGGGGCGTCGCCAGCACGGTTCAGGGGAGGAAACACACTCAGCAGCAACCTGACAAACCATCAACGATAGAAGGAGGTGCAGTAAATTCCGAGGTTTTTTCTTCAGAAGGTGTTGATTTTCACCCCTTCTATTTCTTCATTCTGTTTCTACCGCATCCCCTTTGTTTTCGGGGAGGGAGGAAGCTCTCCCTCGCCCCTATACCTGCGATGCTACATTAATTACATTAGTAGCCGTGACTTACTCACGCGTGAGTAGACCACTCGTTGCATTGTTCATTCATTTCAAAATGTTAAATACTGTTCATTTAATATGTTGAAAAGAATAGTTGTGATTCTTGTCTATGGTTGGTTGTGTACAGATCCTTTTTTAAAAAATGGATCCTGCATAGACTTATGTTTAGCTGATACAATTACACAAACTACAGAAATTTCCCTCGATTTTTTTTTATCAACTCGTGTCAGCAAGACATACGCTCCCTTGAATGTTTCAGATTCTGATCCATAGTCGATATGACGCAGCTACATTCGTCAACCCTGGCATTATCCAAGCAGCGCCTGGCTTCACTACTATCGTACCCCTCACTAAACGAATAGTAAGTTGTATGCCCTCCCCCCGTCATCCAGATCGTCAACGTTGACCATTGTAAAAAAAAAAAAATTAAAAATCGAAATGATTGTGATTGATCACATATTTCATTGCCTTCACTTTAAATATATAATATTAAAAATTTCTGTTGCAGGTTTAATTGTTTATTCACTTATTTCAATGTTAATTTGGGGTGTAAATAAAAAGTTGATCTTGGGATTTGTCATAGGTTTAAGTAAGGTTACTAATAGTAAGTTGTATTAACCCCCCCGTCATCCAGAGTGTCAACGTTGACCATTGTAAAATAATAATAGAACTTGAAATGTGATTGACCACACATTGACCACACATTGACCAATCTTCACGTTTAATACAGTCCTAGCATTTGGAAAAATATGAAATGTTTCTGTTGCAGGTTTAATTGTTTATTCACTTATTTTAATGTTTATTTGAGGTGTAAATAAAAAGTTGGTCTTGGGATTTGTTATAAGTTTAAGTAAGGGAGTGAGTATAAAACCGGTAGTAAGCAAGTGCTTTCCATTTCAGATTAATGCCAAAAAATACCCGTATGTGACGAACTGCACAGACGGCGGTCTGAAGTACTACGCCACCTACACACCAAATACTTGCTTGCTTGAATGCATGGCCGATGCTGTCTTGGAGAAATGTGGATGTTACATGCCATGGATGTCAGGTGAGCTGCTTGGTGTGGTAACATCTATGCGTTGGTTAGCACCCAGAGCGGTACGTGGATCCCTCATTGGTGAAAATGTTTGTAATTGCACAGGCAAATAACCGAAATAAATAGGTTCCACTTCCAGACTTCTTACCGTATATAACAATTTAACAAATATAAAGCTAACCAAACAATCATGCTTTAACGGAAAGGATAAACCTGACCCTTGTAGGAAGGCACGTCTCTAGTTCATTATGTTGCCAAAATGCAAGAGGCGCATTTTACACAACAAACGGTGTTTGAAAGTGTCCTGCCCCTGTTACCTTTGTTGTTGAGAGTATCAAAAACACAAGAGTATATAAGAGTATTGACAAGTAAAGTATTGTAAGTAAAGTAAGTATTGACAGTTTCATTTTGACGTGACATGAAAAATATTGTGATCTTTAGCTCCTTTAGGAGGAGATCAAGAAGTCTGCGACTTGGCGATAGTTGCAGCGTGTGGATTCGATGCTTTAGGTGAGGAGTCATGTTATGAGAACGAATTCCTTCGAATAATATTCTGCCCACCAGCTTTTCTTCTTTCTTTTCTTCAGTCCAAAATTCACACGATTATTCCACCAGATCCCGTCGTAATTTGCATGTTCCATTCACCTGCTCCCTGTACTCTAGTTCTACTCTTCGCTTCTATGGTCCACGTCTGTGGAATACCATTAATTGGGAAATCAGAACAATGCCGTCCGTTGGCCGCTTCAAGTCCTCCTACAAAAGAGCTCTCGTCTCACGATATGTTACATAATAGCTTCCAATCCTTAAACAATGTCTTCCTTCATTTCATTTATCTGGCCTTTACTTCTGTATCTATTCATGTTACTGCTCATTTTCACGGTCTTCAACTCTTTATTTCTGTTTTGGATGTTCAGTCTAGTCTTCACTATTTGTTGCGTTTTTTTTGGCCTTTTCGCAAAATGCGAAAAAGCCTTTCCGATCGTCAGGATTTTTCTGGTGGGGGTCTTCTTTTGGGCCAAAAGCCCATAGACTTTGCACACGTTTATTCTATGATGCACTTTTGCCATTAATCTTTGTTGCACAGCATTCAAAGTTGGCATAGGCATAGTCATTATTGCATAGATATATGCGGAAGATCGACGTCATGATGACGTCATCGAGTGATTTTTTTTTTATTTTTCAATATTTAATTAAGCCTATTCATTTTGTACACGTTTTCGAGGCATTAGTTTGGTACTTTAGTAATCGTTGATCGTCTTCAAAGTTACAACAAACACTAACTATAAAGCGAAGATAATACTGAAATATTAATGTCATGATGACGTCATCAAGTGATTATTATTAAATTTTGAATCTTCAAATATTCCGTTAAATTTATAAACATCCATGTAAAATCAACCGTGGCCTCCCGCAGCATTCTGTTTGCAGCAAGTGGCAGGATAAAATGTGGCCTTGAATTCATCTCGTGTGGGTAGAACCACGTGACTCTTCCTTCCGGTCGAAACCGGAAGTGGTTTTATTGTTTAAAATTGGTAATAGGTATAAAGTTGTTTTCCATGGTGTTAGTCTGTTGGGGTGTAGTATTCTTCAAATCATCTACTGATGACGTCACCTAATTGTCAAGCGCCCTCTAGCGACAGGTTAAAAATTCCGAAAAAGGAATTTTGAATACATGCGGACTGTGTCCGGGAATCGCATGGAAACTGATGTAGATGATCATCTTTACCCAGTCAACATGCGTGTGAAGTTTGTGGCTGATGACGTCATCAGACCAGAAGTTACAATAAAAAACTTCTTTTAGTCTTCAAAATTCGGTAAAAAATCAACCGTAAGAGATATAAGCGTGAATTGTCCACGAGGTGACAGCTAAAACATTGGAGTCAACTCGAATAGCCCATTCACATACTGTGCATTGGCTACTGCGTGCGTGGACGCGCTGCTGCAACATAGACGGCGCACAGTGCGCAAAATGCCAAGCACTTGCTGCTGAGAGCAGATCGCATTGTATGAAACGCCAACGGCACAAATCTATAAAATGTCTAATTTGTGACTTTTTCCGCCATAACTCTAATGTTTTGTTTTGTATATTGTATTGTTCATGTCTGATTGGGTTGAAACCTTGCAGGTAGTTAGGAAGAGAAGGTTTACAAACGGAATTTGACCTCACGTGATGACAATGCCATCAGCAGACCTGTCAAGTGACATTAAACGTACATCATTTAAAGTACTATTTCTCCTGTAGCGTATATCCAATTCGGTTCAAATCAGCAGATATCTTGAAAAGGGAACGCTTTCGAGGAATTTTGACCTCATGTGATAATGACGAGTCATGTAACGTTAAAGGTGCACTCTATAAGGCCCTATATCTGCTGAAGTACATGTCCGATCCGGTTCAAATCTAGCAGATATCTTGAAAAGAGCGTGCTTTAGAGGAATTTTGATCTCATGTGATGATGACGTCATCAGGAGACAAGTCACGTAACATTAAAGGTGCATTCTTTAAGGCCCTATATCTCCTGAAGTAGATGTCCGATCGGGTTCAAATCTTGCAGATATTTTGAAAAGGGAGTGCTTTAGAGGAATTTTGACCTCATGTGATAAGGAAGGCCATCAGGGGACAAGTCATGTGACATTAAAGATGCACTCTTTAGGGCCCTGTATCTCCTGAAGTAAATATCCCACTGAGATGAAACTTTGCAGATAACTAGAGGGGAATGTGTGATACACGAAAATTGACGTCATATCATATTTTCATCAGATGAAAAGTCACGTGACATTAAAGGTGCATCATTTAAAGCCCTTTATCTCCAAAAGTACATGTTTGAGCGGGTTGAAACTTTGCAGATATCTGAAAGGGGGTGTGATAGACGAAAATGGACCTCATGGAATGATGACGTCATCAGATGAAAAGTCACCTAACATTAAAGGTGCATCATTTAAAGCTCCATATCTCTTGAAGTACTTGTACCAGCGAGTTGAAACTTTGCAGATATGCAATCACGACTATGACATTTTCAATGAAAAGCCCTATGTTCTGTTGCAAACAGACGTAGAAGCTATCGTTCTTGTTTGTTTTCAATTGTCTGTCATATTCTCTACAAGCCCCCGCTGATATGAACAGCTCCATACTTCCTATCTTTTCAAGTTTCCTCTATTTTCTCTTATTATGTTACATTGTATTCATGGCTCGTATTTATTTTACGTGTATTCTTGATTCGTATTTTAATGAAAGTATGGAAATAAATGTTGTTTTGAATTTGAATTTGTAATTACGATGACCGGTTTTATAGAGGTGTTTTGGCCGTCGTAAATTTCTGAATTTCTGTGTTTTTATAGACCCTTAAAGGAAAAGTATAGTATAAAATTTCGTCTAATGAATTTAATTTGCTCAACATTTTGGGCTCGTTGCTCAAATGATATGCTTGATTGAATTCTTTCCTTTCAGTTGGTGTGAATTGCACTTGTAATATGCCTTGCACTGAGGAACAATACATGACTCGCGTGAGTCACACAGCCACCCCCGCGCAGTATGCCATACCAAAACTGAGTGCAAAATACAACATGACCGCAGAAGAACTCAGGTTAGGTTGAATTTCATTCCACTTCGCTGCCACTGCATTGGTCCTTCATTCTTCTCTCTAGGCTTTTATCCCTCCGATCCAGTGATTAGAATGAGGTGCATGTAGTTTTGAGTAACGGGGGTTAATATATTTGAGTCCACAGACTCATTAAAGTCACTATAAATTTACATTTAATCTTCGGCCTGCCCCCTCCCTCTGAAAACCTGGGTCCGCCCAAGCTGTTGCTGAGCCACTTATCCCTGATCAAAACATGCTCATTCTCTGTCACACAGTAGGGTACACTCTTACATTCTGAAAAACTGAGACATTCCCCCTTTTCAATTACCAGAAACAATATTGTTGATCTGTATGTCTACTTTGAGGACATGAGAGTAACAGTCATCGAACATAAAGAGGCCTACGATTTCGCCAAATTAACAAGTAAGATGCAAAACTTGTAATCGCTTTTTATGTGGACTTGGAGGAAATATGTTGCAATATAACGTCACATTCGTCAATGTGATTATCCTTTTCATTTCAAATTCGAGTGGTTTATACACTCAGTGTAAATTCATCTTTACACCCAAACAAATGAAATGGTCAGTGTTTGTTGAAAGAAAACCATGTATTTTCTCCCTTCTAGGTGACATTGGAGGCGCACTGGGCCTGCTGCTTGGAGCTAGTGTCCTGACCGTGTTTGAATTCTTGGATTATCTAGCTGTGTATCATTTGTTTGGCCTCACGCTCCTCAAAAATTCCTGCCAGAGAATCATGGGTAAAGGGAAATAGAGCTTTCTCAAAATGATGCCTTAGTTTTATCATCGGATACACTGATGGAGCTCATATCCTGTTTGGCTAACGTTGTTCATGCGATTGTATATTGAATGTATATTAGAAATCCTGTTATTTGTAGATTTCGTACACTCTAAGAAAACCATAGCAAATATTATTTATTACAAAGTAGGCAGTTTTTTGTTGGTCATCTTTTTTCTTTTTCTAATTAAACGTTTATTCAGTAAGCCGTTTGCTCAAAGAAAACTATCAATTTATTTCGAGGAGAGCTTAGTAAATGAACAATAGAAGCCTTCCTCTATTTGTTGTACTCTAATGGGGGTTGACATCTTACATTCATGCGCGCATTAGTGGAACATAACGCAAGATGGAACGATATTTGTAGGCACACCCACACATTCACGCTGTTTGCATTGAACAAAATTATAACTTATTTCCTGATGTAGGTTGATTTTTTAGCTATCCACTTCACTTCATTCATAAGGAGCCAAAGTCCCAGCAAGGTCCGTCATTTTGCAACACGCAAGGTTCCTTTGATAACCGGGTTTCAAGCAAGCTAGTTTGAAACTGATTCGTTTCACTCGTTGTCAACCATAAGCACGCTGGAGAGTCCTTTATATGTCTTGCACTCTACCAGCATTTCCTGCTACTTCGCTTTGCTCATCCGCACGAAAAGCAGTTTAGTCCCTTGGGCGACCAGATCAACATTGTGAAAATTATCGAAAGGGGCTCGCTGGGCATATTTAGAAGAATATATTTTTTTTTAATTACGAGTATTATCAGATATCAAATGTTTAAAATTTTCCAAGTAACCAATACATAATATTTGACATTATACCTAAGCCAGATAAATTGAGCTTGTCACTTATGCAAAGTCTTTTGAAAAAACTTATTACGCTATTGGTAACAAATGTTTAATTTCTTCTACGAAATAGACTCATTCTTATTTCCATAATACATATACTTTGGAAAATGTTACACATAAATATTAAAGTAAATGTTAGTTAAGTTTCGTAATATTCCCATCAGTTGTATAATTAATTTAGAGCACTCATTAAGCTCATAACAGAAGACAAGTGCAATATAAATTATACTATATAACCCCCATAGCTGTAACACTATTATAATAATGCTTTCAATTATCCTATCACATTAGTTTTTGCAGCTAATAAATTAAATTAGACCACCACTTTTCCTCATTAATGCAGATTCTTAATCTTGAGGATTATCAACACCAATGGTGCTTCAAAAGCTCTCTACAACGAGTGTAGTGCAGGAGGCGCAAAACCGGACAAAAGCTGGACTCAAGGCTACTTTGACTTGATTCCCTTCGATTTATTCCCAGGTGTCAATCACCAACACACGGTGGGGATACACTTGCAATACTGCAAGTGTGTCCCCACTGTGTGTGTATGTTGGTGGTTCGGCAAAGGGTGTGTGTGATGAATCTAGTGCAGTAGTGTAGCAGTAGTTAGCATTTCACGTCCCGCTCCTACCGTCTATCAGCTGCTGTCGCTGGCTAGCCCCATCGGGACGAAAATGGAGTTGAGTGCGTAAGTCTCCCCTGCCAGGACGTAGCCTCTCCACCATCAAGACTGCTGCAGTGCCTCCTCGTGGCATCACGTGGTAACAGGGCATCTTGCGACCCCTGGCTGAATCTGCAGTGGATCTCGGAGCAGTATAGTGGGCCCCAGAGACATGGTGCGCAGGCCCACCGGCGTGTGGACACGCCCTGGCGCCTTGTCATTTACTGCCCCAGTTATGGGTGAAATAGCATCATAGCCTTGTGGTTAACTTGGAAGAGAATAAGGCTACGGGAGTAAACCCAGACAGAAAATTCGGAGTGGAGCCCCGAAAGGGCGGTTGGTCGAATGGTGTGACACCTTCCGGCAACTCCTGCGACTGCGCTGACACCGACCGTACCGGCTAGTCCCTTCCGTCGGACCCTGCCAGCAAGACTGGGCACCCCACGATCTCCATATTGTCTTGTCCAGGCCTTTGTCCTAAAGGGGTCACTCCAGTGTTGCTGGCCAAGCGACAGAACCAACACGGGAAACAACAGTTACGAGAGCGAATTGGCGTATGCTCGGGCGCTATGGGTTGTCTCCGACGGGGGGAGGAATCATCGCGTCTCATTGGTCAACTACCGCCCGCCTTAAGCTGGACAGCCCCCAGTCATTTAGGTGTTGACCCGCCACAGTCTGCCTGCTTCAATGGGTGCTTGGAACTTTGGACAAAACCCCCGAAAAGCAGACTGCCATCCCACCACCAGGCAAACAACGAAGCAATATGAAACTACTAGCCCTACGGCTGGCCACCTGGAACGTCAGAACAATGTGCCCTGGCCCCTCTGATGACCTCCAGCAAGTTGACGATGCCAGGAAAACCGCCATTACTGACCGCGAGCTGTCGAAGCTTAGCAGGAGCCACGCCTCTCCTCCAATGGTAGTCTCAAGGAGAGTGACTACACGTTCTTCTGGCAAGGACTAGATCCAGATGATCTCCGACTTTTCGGGGTGGGGCTCGCAGTACGTAACTCCCTCCTGTCGTCAGTTGAGCTTCCTTTTCTGGGGACTGCGCGAATCCTCTTTCTCCGCTTCATGACCTCCTCTGGTCCCACAAACATCCTTAGCATCTATGCCCTCAAACTCTGCTCTAAAGCTGAAGCTAAAGATGCATTTTATGAAGAGCTCGAGGCCAAAATCAGAGAGATCTCCCCGAGTGAAACCCTGTTCCTGCTCGGAGACTTCCGTGCCCGAGTTGGCTCAGACCACAGCTCCTGGCCACGCTGCATCGGGCACTTCGGCATTTGCAAGCTCAGTGAGAACGAACAGCGGCCACTGGAGCTTTGCTCCTACCAAGATCTCTGCGTCACCACATTTCCCACAAACCACATCACAGAGTGTCTTGGAGGCTCCCTAGGTCCAAACACTGGCACCAGCTAGATTTCGTCATTACCAGGAGACCCCTTCTCAACCACGTGCTTATCACCCGCACTTACGACAGTGCCGACTGCGACATCGACCGCTCCTTGGTCAGCAACAAGGTGCGTCTCTGACCAAAACGATTCCATTGCTCCAAGCAAAAGGGTCGCCCAGGTATCAACACCGCCGGGATGTCATTTGCCGAACAGCGCGAGCGTTTCGTCAAAGCCATCGACGACAACCTTGTGGACGGCCCAACAGACAGCGCCACGATGCGATGGAACCTCATCCGTGATGCCGTGTATGAGGCCGCCTTGGACACTTTCGGGAAGAGAGTGAGGAAGAACGAAGATTGGTTCACGGCAGGGATCGAGGAGATGGAGCTGGCCATCGCTGCCTGCCATCACTGCCAAGCGTGTCGCACTCCTCGCGTACAAGAGAGAGCCCTCCAAGAAAACATTAGCTGCTTTGGAAGTAGCACGCACTAATGCCAAACGGAATGCGTGCAAGTGCGCCAATGACTACTGGTTGAACCTGTGCCGTGATATTCAAATCTCCGCGGACTGTGGTAAGATCCGTGCCACGTACGAGGGCATGACGAAAGCGTTTGGTCCCAGTGCCATCGAGATCGCTCCTCTTAAATCCACCTCAGGCGACATCATCACAGATCGCAGGAAGCAGATGGAGAGATGTGCAGAGCATGGGCAGAACATTACTGGAACTGTACTCCAAAAAGAATAGTCACCCACACAGCCATTGAGAACACCACTCCCCTGGCCATCTTGGGGGAGCTCGATATACCACCCACCATCCAAGAGCTGGCCACTGACTTGCTAGTCTGTGGAAAAGCACCAGGAAGTGATGGAATCCCTCCGGAGATCATCAAGGCTGGCAGAGAGAGTTTCCTCCTCAGCTACTTGTACGACCTCCTGCTCCAATGCCGGGAGGAAGGCACGACACCGGAGGACATGCGTGACGCCAGATCGTCACGGTCTATAAAAAAAGAGGGCGACCACAGTGACTGCAACAACTACCGCGGTATCTCCCTCCTCAGCATTGTGGGAAAGGCCTTTGCCCAAGTGGTCCTCAACAGGCTTCAACTACTCGCCAATCGTGTGTGCCCAGAGTCACAATGCAAGTTCAGAGCTGCAAGGTCGACAATTGATATGGTGTTCTCTCCCTCGGGCAGTTTCAGGCGAAGTACCGCGAACAGAGACGCCCATTGTTTCTGCCTTCATTGATCTCACCAAGACGTTCGACTTGGTCAGCCGAACCGGCCTCTACACCCTTCTACACAGGATTGGTTGCCCCCATGCTCCTGAAGATGATCACATCCTTTCATGATGACATGACTGGCACCGTTCAGTACGACGGATCATCATCGGACCCCTTCCCAATCAAGAACGGTGTGAAGCAAGGGTGTGTCCTGGCCCCGACACTCTTCGGCGTGTTCTTCTCCCTGCTGCTGCCCTTTGCCCTTCGACAGTCTGAATATGGCATCTTCCTCCACACCAGGAGTGACGGGAACCTCCTCAACTTGGCCCGCCTAAAAGCAAAGACGAAGGTGCGCAGAGTGCTCATCGGGGAGTTGCTCTATGCAGACGATGCTGTCCTTACTGCCCACGGTGAAGACTTTGGTGTTTCCCCCGCCATCCTGTTGAATCTCAGTGGGTCTAGCGAGAGATCATGGAACAAATTCCTTGGACTTATGGCCCCTAGTCCGTCGTTATACGGGAACAGTAGATTGTACAACTGTGGATTTACACCCGGCAAAGCAATAAGACAAGAATTTAAGAAGAAGATAAATGAAAGCACTCAAAATCAATTTCTTCATTGAACAGATCCCCTCCTAGTGGTAGAGTAATGAGCACATTATGGTGGGTTGTAGAAATAAACAGAAGCAGTACATTTGAGTCCATTGTGATTGACACCTGTGAAGTGCATGTAACAACAGACCAGACGTGGTACCTCACCGTTTTATACAGAAGGACTCTCCTGCTTCTATGAATGATAATGCGACTTTTGAAATTTACTTTTATTACGAGGAGGTTTTTGCTTGTTGGTTTTGTGAATTTAAACGTAAGAGTTGAAAGAACCTGACGTATTAGACCCTACACGTCTTTGATTATGGAGTGCCAAAAGTGGACAACCCCATTTTCTAATTGTCTGCCTGTAGGTTGTCGGGGTTTTTGAAGTTGCACAATCCCTTTTCAAAAACAGCAATTTTTTCGCAAGCAGAAATTAGGATTTTACTTTGACGACGGCGGGGTGGTCCAAAAAGGACAAGTTGACAATTGAAAAAACCTTTTCTCCCTACGTTGAAATGGAACCGTCCTAGGTAGATTGGTATCACCTCAGTGATGGAGGACAATCCGGACTCAAGTCCAATTTTTTGAACTCGTAACTCGGCTCAGACTCGGGTCGTTTTGGACTCGGCTTTGCTCAGAGTCGGCTAGTGGCTGACTCGGACTACTTATTGGACTCAAATCAAGTCCATTCTTAAACTGTTTTTAAAATTCAGAAATTTCAATGGAAAAATATCCGCATCTGTTGTCCGTAATTGTTTGGTTACGAACCATCATTTTCGGGTCTAGGATGATGGCAAACGTGTAAAAAGCGCGCAACCGATTCGACAGAGTTGCCTGTGCAGTGCAGCGTAAAAAATTCTTCATGAAGGATTTACATGCTCACAGTTGATCTTCCTGTTGTGACTTGTGTCGATCATCATTGCACAACAGATCGAGAGTGACAGTGACACCATAAAACCCCTCCATACACATTAAGACATAGTCGATTCTTCGTTAATGATCATTTTTAACTCTGTAATTAAAGGATGTTTGGATTAAATTCGGTACACAAAAAGTTTGTTGCCGTTTCCGGCCTTGTATGCGAAGTAGATGAAGGCTTATTACATTATTTACCTGCACATTTGTTGAACCGGCCTTGCATACACATTCATTCCCTAATAAAAAATCTGGATGAGTGAATGGTGAATCGTTCTGCTCTTACCTTGATTACAGAGTGGAGTTTTAAGTCAACCTAATTTGCTATCCGCTGTCATGGGCTTTTATGGCGAACACAATAGTAACTCAGTCCATTGTGGAATCAGACTGTTGCGACAGTGGGAGGGGCTTTGGGTAGAGCCTGCGGAGTTGATATTTTTATTGGTCGAGGATATGGAGGACGAAAAGTGGTCATCTGCTTTTCTGCTATCAGAAGAGTAGAAAAGCAGATTTTATGTCTTTGTAATATGCAATTTTTTGACGTTTCTACTGATCTACTGAATAGAATGGTCATTTTATTGTAATGCATTTTTCCACTTCTCTGCTTTTCTGCTACTACAAAAGTAGTTTTACTTTCCTCTTTTTGATGGCGGCCGAAAAGTGGCCATCTGCTTTTTACCTGTCAAACAAGCAGGAAAATGGATTGAAGGTTTTTACGACAACCGTGAATTCAACTTTTCTGCTTTTGTGATGAAGGAAAAGCAGATTTGACATAGGTGGCCGAAAAGTAGCCATCTGCTTTTGTGTACTCAGTGGGCAGTGAATGGGGCCATGAACCTGTAGGTTACGACCATTTCCGTTCTGGGGGAGCATGGGAGTGAAGACGTATAGAATTAACCAATACTTAACCATGCTTTCTGCGGACCAATCCCATGCGGCAGTATCAGTGTCCCTGTGAGGCAGAGAAAACAGCATCTCAAAGGAAATACAGTTTTACAACTATCATCCACTGCAGACACACAAGCTTGCTTGGGCCAAGGAAAACATGTGAATCGTTCATCATAAAAGAAAGGGTGGACTAATATTGGTCTATACGTCTTCAATCCCCAAAAAAGGAAATAGTCATAACCTGAGGTTCACGACCCAATTTACGGCCCTTGGCAGGCAGAAAAGCCGATGGCCACTTTTCGGCCGACTATGTACAATTGCTCCTCTGGTATGTTAAAAAAAAAAGTAGAATTCACGGTTGTTGTCAAAACGGTCGATCCTCATTTCTGCCTGCTCGAAAGGAGAAAAGCAGATGGCCGCTTTTCGGCCGCCAGCAAATGAAGAAAAAGTAAAATCTGCTTTTCTTGAAGCAGAAAAGCGGAAAAATAGAAAAATGATAACCAAACATTGTTTGTTCTGCTATTTTAGGTGGCAAAAAAGTAGAAAAGTCGAGATTGCATAAAATCTGCTTTTCTACTGCTCTGATAGCAGAAAAGCAGACGGCCACTGTTCGTTCTCCATGCGAGGACTTCATGTTTGTCGTACGTTCGTTCAAAACGCATAAACACAATTATACCCCTAAGCCGTTCGTTATGTCCTCCAGGTAGTAATCACAGTTAAGGATCCACATGCTGGAGCATCTTATTGTGAGAAATGTTTGCTCAAAGGGAATATTTCATCTCGAAATCTCAGGATGAGTAAACTATTTTTATTTCGGGCGATATTGAAATCCTGGAAATGGATACGCGTATGTACTCGCCTTTGCGTTGACCTACATTAACCAACGAAATGCGTCAGTCTGGTGACACTAGTTGCTATGCCACCGTGCCCACCTAATTGTGCTCTATTTGGCTTTCGCTGTGTGATTTTACGCTAGTGATCAATCAACCGTTCCTTAATTGAAAAGGTAGCGTGTGCTTTGTGGATGAAGGACCCTCCTGACCACAACTCTGAACTTGTGGTCTGTGCCAGTTCACACGTAGTTCAGGTTATAGAGTCTGTTGCGATTAAAAATCATCCCCGAAGTTTATACACTTCGTGGCCATGGTAAAGCCGTCTGCCCGTATTCAGGCACTTTCGAACGGTGGGGCAGTAGGCCCTATGCCAGGCTCAGTTGAGGAGTCGGACTTTGAAATCGCGGACAGTGCATCAAGGAGTGTGGACCACGAGGAGACAACCAAACGGAGAGGGGTATGTCGAACAGCTGATGATCCTGACAGACTGGAAGTCAGGAACAAGAGGGTGTTATTGTTCAGGGATTTCACGTCTGAAACATCCTTGCACGGTATCAAGTACGTCGCGAACTCCAAATATCACATATGCAGACGGTGAGTATACCCAGATTGTACAGGGCGACATTTGAACGTTTTGGTCAAAGAATGACAGCCAGACACTCCAACACTTGTCTTGTGCGAATGAAAAACACGTCAAGGACAAATCCAAAACCAAATAGGGCTATGGGGAGACCGAAATGGTTTCTTTGTTGGGGGATTTGGACATTTCTTTGTGCATTTTGTTATGGCCTGTCTGAGGGTTGAAGCTTTATAGACCCCCTTTGGAAGGAAGGGTAACACAGCTGTCCCCATAAGTTGTCATTTATATTTCCCATCGCTTTCTTGAGAAAAACAACAAAGGGCATTATGGCGATTTTAAACCAACAACTCAATCGATATTATACTAGGGGAAAAGACAACAGACGTGGGTTACCTTCAGCTAAAGAATTAGTCGTTATATGTAGAAACAACATGTAGTTATTGTACTGCATTGTATTGTATTAAAATTTGAGGCCAATGTAACCTTTTTATGCCTCCCTACTCTTCAGCTTCTGTTATAATGGCCTGTGAGGGTGGTTTCATTTTCAAAACCCTTTTAGAATTCGTGTCAGCTGCGTCATCATGGCGCCCCTTCTTTGAAAGTGTTTTCAACATTAAATACAGATAATTACTTCAGCGTCGAACTCCAAACTGTCGCTCGTGCCAATTTATTACTACCTGTATTGTCTTTAATGAAGTCATTTCATTTTGCTCGTCTCCTGCATGGTCCGCGTCCCGTCCTGGTGTTTGCGATTATGCCAATATTCCATTATCGTTAGCCACTGCCAGTGGCCTAAATTATGTACAGGCTAATTGCAGTCTTGATTCGATGCAGTCTTTCTGAAGCTTGTGCAGACGTATAAGCCTAATATACAGGTGCTTGATTTTGGTTCGAAAAAAATTTTCAAATTTTGTGTAAATTTTTCCATTGCCAACGTGCATTGAAACAAGATTTTGCAATTCGCAGTGTTTTTACCTTAATTCGTGCATACTGCATAGTACTTTCTGAGATTCCAGAGAAGAGGCCTTAAAAGAACAAAGCAGAAACGAATGACTTAATACCAGAGTTACTAAAGATAATTGCAGTACGAAAAGAGATATGACCATTCCACGTCAGTTTATCATTGGTGACGACATAAAGAAATTTAGCTGAGTGCACCTGCGAAATAGGTTCACTTTAAATGCAAAAAAAGTAAGAATGAAGTAAAATTGGATCGGCTGAAGAGTGTGAATTTGGTTCAACTTTGATCGAGTGCCAAGTTGACTTATGTTTTCAATTTGAACTAATGAAAATATTTTGGCGGAAAGTCACTTTGTTGTTTGGTCCATCCCCAGCTTCATATGGCTGATTCTCTTCTTGGCTGCTTGGACCGGCTTCATCATTCTCACCGCCGACCACTTTCGCACTTTCTTTGAGTTTGACACCACCACATCATTGAGCTACATGCCTGTGTCCAATCTGACCCTCCCAGCTATCACCATCTGTAACTACAACGCTTTCAAGAAGTCAGCCGTCATCGAGTCTGGATGGGAGTCTTTGGTTCCTCACCTACTTCCTTTCTTAACCACCACTTCTTTCCCCCAAAACGAAGTGGATGTTACTTCTCCTGACTACGAGAATCTTACCTTCCCTGAGTGGGATTCAGAAGAACTTAGCACGAGATGGGGGCACAGGATCGAGGATATGTTACTGGAATGTCGATGGAAGCAAAGCTTCACCTGCGGTCCACAAGACTTTGAGGTTAGCTGGTACTTTGTTAACATTTTCAAAAGCAAGACCAACTTAAATTTCAACTCTTATACGAGTACGTGAATAATACATTTGTGGTTGAAAAAAAGAGCTCGTTGCCAAAGTGACAATCATTTATACTTAAACACGATTTCATGCACGCATCATTTGTTCGGAGTTTCTGGCGCTATTAATGAACTGAGCCCACCCCTTGTCGGCTTTGAAGGCACTTGCTTAAAAAAACTCATCGCAAGTTTACTTGAAGATCAAAACACTAACAGTTACATCGAAAGCTTTACTTTGTGAATCTACGCTTGTCCACTGAGTGGTTTTTTTTTGTCCCCGCGTGGTTTTGGCTCCGCCGTGCTCTTGTATCGCGCCACTCTAGGTAGTCGGTACATGCACATGTACTTTTAGCTGAAGTAAGGTTCAATGTACTTTTCCTTCGAATTTGTACAGATGACCTGGACAGACTTTGGTCCGTGCTTCACATTCAACGGGGGAGACGACAGGCAACCTGGGGGTGGTGAGTCACCTTACGTGGCAAATGACTCCACCTCGGAGGAAGGGTTGTGGCTGCGATTAAACCTTGAGCAACACGAATACATAGCTACACCGTTCGATACGGCTGGATTTAGGGTATGTCGCTTCTGTGGTGTGTCTTGAAACTTCACAATGGGCATGCTGCATGCGCAAAAGCGTTCTTAATGGCTGCTTTCGATTCGACAGATTCGCACTCATAACCTTCTTCATGCTACGTTAATGTCGTGTAAAGGCGTGCCCCTTCACAAAGGGCGTGGCCAGCATTATTTAGGGGGAGGAAACACTCAGCAGCAAAGTGACAAACCATCGACGAGGGAAGGAGATGAATTCAGAGTTTTTTTTCAGAATCTTTAAGATTTTCCCCCTTCTCCTTTTTGTGTTTGTGAGTCTGTTTCTATCACATCACCATCCCCTTTCTTTTTCTTGGGGGGGGGGGGAGCGCTTCCTCGCCCCTTCCTGCGATGCTCATTGTCACATTACATTAGTAGCCGTGGTTGGACCACTCGTTGCAGTGTTCATACCTGCTTAATAAAAATGCTCAAGTCTGTGCAGGATGCATTTTAATTAGCATTTTTATTAAGCAGGTATGAACACTGCAACGAGTGGTCTACCCACGGCTACTAATGTAATGTAACAATGAGCATATATAATTATGTTTCTTTAACAACTCATGCCAGCAAAACATACGCTCCCTTGCACATTCCAGATTTTGATCCATAGTCGATATGACTGGGCTACATTCGTCAACCCTGGCATTATCCAAGCAGCGCCTGGCTTCACTACTATCGTACCCCTTACCAAAAGAATAGTAAGTTGCATTAACCCCCCCCCGGTCATCCAGAGTGTCAACGTTGACCATTGTAAAATAATAATAGAATTTGAAATGTGATTGACCACACATTGACCAATCTTCACTTTTAATACAGTCTTAGCATTTGGAAAATATGAAATGTTTCTGTTGCAGGTTTAATTGTTTATTCACTTATTTTAATGTTTATTTGATGTGTAAATAAAAAGTTGGTCTTGGGATTTGTTATAAGTTTAAGTAAGGGAGTGAGTATAAAACCGGTAGTAAGCAAGTGCTTTTCATTTCAGATTAATGCCAAAAAATACCCGTATGTGACGAACTGCACAGACGACGGTCTGAAGTACTTCGCCACCTACACACCAAATACGTGCTTGCTTGAATGTATGGCCGATGCTGTCTTGGAGGAATGTGGATGTTACATGGCGTGGATGTCAGGTGAGCTGCTTGGTGTGGTAACATCTATGCGTTGTCTAGCATCAAGAGTAGTGTGCATGTTCCCTCATTGGTGAAAATGTGATTTTAGTGTGTTTGTAATTGCACACGCAAACAACCGAGATAAATAGGTTCCGCTTCCAGACGGTTTACCTTGGATAAGAATGTAACAGATAGCTTACCAAACAATCATGCCTGAGCGGAAAAGAGACACACGCCTCCCTGTTCATCATGTTGCCAAAAAAATGCACGAGGTGCATTTTACGCTGAACGGTATTCAAAAACTGTTCCCTTTGTTGTTTAGAGTATCAAGAATACAAGAGTATACAAGAGTTTTGACAAGCAAAAATGTTTGGGCTGATATTAACGGTGAAGATATGCAGTTTCATTTTGACATGAACTAAAATTGTGACCTTTGTGCTCCTTAGGAGGAGATCAAGAAGTCTGCGATTTCGCGACGGCTGCAGCGTGTGGATTCAATGCTTTAGGTGAGGAGTCATGTTATGCGGACGAACTTACATTAATATGTGAAAGCAGTCAGTGCGGATTCCCCAATGTTTGGTTTTAGTTAAAGCTTAACTGGATGTTTCGGTCAGATTTGAAGGAAATAATTTTGTCTCGATTACGATGGTCGGTTTGACAGAGTTCTTTTGACCGTCATAAATTTCTGTTTTTCTACCCACCCTTTTTTGGAAAAGTCAAGTATAAAATTTCGTCTAATGAATTTAATTTGCTCGACATTTTGGGCTCGTTGCTCAAATGATATGCGTGATTAAATTCTTTCCTTTCAGTTGGTGTGAATTGCACTTGTAATATGCCTTGCACTGAGGAACAATACATGACTCGCGTGAGTCACACAGCCACGCCCGCGCAGTATGCCATACCAAAACTGAGTGCCAAATACAACATGACTGCGGAAGAACTCAGGTTAGGTCCAATTTCATTTCATTCCACTGTCACTGAATTAGTCCTCCATTTCACTCTTCTTCTCGTTGTGCCGAAAATGGATTCTGTTTGCGACAGTACTGGTACATATACTCATCAACAATGAATCTCTCGTTTGAGGATGACATTTTAGTTGCACTTAAGCATTATGACGACTGCCTTATTTCTCTCCATTTCTGAGATTAACCAGACAAACGCACTCTTGGGTAACACGGATTTCAAAAGCAGTTCGATCGTATTAGCGTTAGAATCTCCCCTTGTCGAACATAAATTGTCATTCACGCCTTTATTTTGTGAAAATTTATTATAATATTAAATTTGTGCTGTTGGACGGAGCAGGGTGCAAATTGCAATGTTTCCACGACACTTTCCAGCTGTGAGACGTTTCTGTAGCTAAACCGCATTTCCCTGATCCAGACGTCATGCCCATGCTCTGCCGCACAATGCCCTCAGTCTTACATTCTGGAAAACTGAGACATATTCCTATTTTCTATTTTCAGAAACAATATTGTAGATCTGTATGTCTATATTGAGGACATGAGAGTAACAGTCATCGAACATAAAGAGGCCTACGATTTCGCCAAATTAACAAGTAAGATGCACCATTTGTAATCACTTGTGACACAATGTCACATTAGTCAGTGTGAATTATTCATTTCGAAATTAAGTTGCCTGTGATCGATTTACCCACTGTAAGTTCATCTTTACACCCTGTCAAATGAAATGGTCAGTGTTTGCTGAAGGAAAACCATGTATTTTTTCCCTTCTAGGTGACATTGGAGGCGAGCTGGGCCTGCTGCTTGGAGCAAGTGTCCTGACCGTGTTTGAATTCTTGGATTATCTTGCTGTGTACCATTTGTTGGGCCTCACACTTCTTAAGAATTTCTGTCAGAGAATCACGGGCAAAAGGAAATAGTGTTTTTTTTTTCAAAAATGCCCTTGTTTATCATCGGATACGCTGACTGACCTCATGTCCTACTTAGTTAATGTTGCACATGAAATTGTATAAAGTATGCATATTCCAAATCCTGTTGTTTGTAGATTTTGTACATCCTCAGAAAACCATATCAAATATTATTAACCTACGGTGTAGGCAATTCTTTTTGCTGAATACATCTTTTTTTCTTTTTCTTATTAATATTTTATTCAGTAATCCGTTTGCTCAAAGATAATTATTTTTATTTCAAGGTGAGCTTAGCACACGAACAGTGGAAGCCTTCGTCTATTCTAATGGGGCTTACATCTTAAATTCTTGGAGCATAATGCAAGATGGGACGATATCTATAGGGGCACCCACACATTTACGTTGTTTACAGTGAACAAAATGAAACTTATTTCCTGATTGTAACTTTATGTATTTGGCTTATCCACTTCACCCCTCATCGATAATGAGTCAGGTCACAGCAAGATCCGTCATTGTCGCCACGCGCAAGGCTCCTTTAATTACCGGTTTCAAGCGAGCTAGTTTACAACTGATTCATTTCACTTGTTGTCAACCATAAGTATGCTGGAGAGTCCTTTATGTCTTGCACTCTGCAAGCACAACATATCAGTGCAGCTATTTTGCAGACCTTGGTTTCGTACAACCAATGTGACACACCTAACCACCCCCCCCCAAATCTTCGCATCCGATGAAAATTTGGAAAAAAGGAAGAAAGTAAAAGAATTACAATGTATTGTGAAAAACAGACACATATACATGTATTTAGAGCCCCCCGCTGAGACACCCGGTTCCTTATAGTAATCATCTCTGGGTTAACCTTGTTGGTAAAATTGTAAATAATTCTGATCTCAATAATTATACCACTGTCATAGCACTTAGGTCTGTGAAATTGTTGCTAAAAATGACCATCTATTGACAATACACCCCTGACAAATTACGTTGATTTTTATCCGTTGTGCACTGAGCGCGTGATGTAATGTGATGTACAGTGCTGAAATTATGGACGCTATCTAGTGATCAAGGGATGTCATCCTGTTTTGCAATACGTATTCCCCATTTCGAACCTCGGAGGTTTTAAAACTATTTTGTATCCTTTGCAGATTGGGAGCGCTAAGATTGTGGCCGAGCGACATATACAACACTATCCCAGCTATATGGAAGTTTCCCCTTTAAAAGAAAGTATTGTATATATGTAACCCCCCCCCGTGGGATATTGTCCACAGCAAAGGACGAGTATATCCTCCTGACATATTTTTACTGGCGAGAACTACAAAGAGAAAGTACAGTGTAGCAAGACACGACTTCAGGTGGGGACTGTTTTTGATATCGGTTGTGTGTGTCTACTGAATGCTACTATGATGCATGGTCTTTTCTTGTCCGGGCTTCCAACAACGTTGAGTCACCTGTGAAACTGACTTCCTCACGATGTATTGAACTTTCTCAGTCTTCTGACATGCGTTGGCACTCTCTGATTTCATAAATGCTAAGGTTAGGAAAAAGGGACTTTAATTATGTCAAAAGTTTTGCACCAGCCTGTGCCGCCAGTCTGAAAGTAAGACTAGCATTACTCGACGAAGTTGCTTGTTCCTCAAGTAGTAAATGATGACATTAAGCCAGGAATTCGAGATTACAAAGCCAGTAGCAAAATAGGTGAGTAAGTAGTTAATGTAAGTATTGGGACTACTTCCGTTGACTAGAGGAACTAACAGTAGGATGATATTTGGAATCCAAGTGATGACTAGGGTCCCTGTTATGATGACAATGGTGGCGATGGATCTAGTGTTAATCCTGTGCCCACCCTGGCCATTATCTGCTTGGTTTTCAGCAGCGATACGTCGAGCTTGTTTGCGGGCTATCAGGGAAATTCGCAGATAAAGAATGATTATGACAGTCTGCCAAAAAACAACCGCAAGAAGACCGAAGACTCCTCTAACGTTATCCATCCTCCATGAGCAAAGTTGACGAGATCCTAACTGTTCGACTCTCCGTGGATGATAAATCCCGTATAGCAGAATACCAACAATTACGATCGTTGTCCACTTAGCACAGATGAGGATTTTAGATCTGAACACTGTCATCAATGTAGGGTAGCGCAGAGGACGAGATACAGCAATGTAACGATCGATAGTTAGCAGAACAAGTGAAAGAAGATTGAGTGACTGAAAGATGTATCCAAAAACACCGGATATCGCGCAGAGAAAATCGCCCAACAGCCACTTACCGGCAAAAACTCCTGGCAGTCTTATGAGCCAGATAATTCCCGTACCCAAGTCGGACATGGTGAGAGAAGCCATGAATATCTTGGTCGTTGGTTGGATGCTGGTGACACGATACAAGACGCACAACATCGGGGGATTGAGCAGAAAGTTCATCAGTACTACCACTGTCAGAAAGATACCGGCAGAAATCTCCAAAAAAATTTCAGAGGTGGTATCCCCCTCCAAGGAGGTGTTAGGGTTAGTGTCTGCCCCTGCTGTTGGATAATAAATGGTTTCCATTGCGATGTTGAAAAGTCCACGAAAATTGATCGTCACTTTGTTACCAGCAAAGTTGGTACGTCCGCGATATCACTTCGGGATGAATAGGAAAATTTATGGAATGCAACCGTCTCTCTTCTTGTCTCACTTAAATTCAGTTCCTGTTTCAGTACTCAACTGAATCACCTTCATGTACATCTGCTTAAACTTTATCAGCTGCTTTGTTGGTTATTTCATCCCTCAATGGTAGAGAAAAGCTCACACAACGATGATACGCGTAGCCTATACGGCTTAAACTGGGCTGCGCCCGCATCAACGCAGCGTATTCCAGCAGTGACTTTGATTTTACAATATGCACTGCCTCAAAGGCGTATGATAATTACCGGGTCGTTCCCTGAAGTACATCAATAGGAAATTCTGTCAAGTTGTCACTCAGATCTTTGGGACCCTCGTAATAAGGTGACTGCGTTCAGCCCGCATCACCTATACTGGTTTTGTATTATTTCCTCTTCGTAATGTTGTTCGTCTTGTTTTATTTTCAAAATTGTCGACAGCTTTAATTTAAGAGGGGACAGTGTATAAACTTGAAACTTTGCGAGAACATCAGTCCTGAAAGTAAGATGCGCAAACAAGTGTGACTTCACAACATGATCACATAAGTTTTTCAATATATATACAGTAAACATTTTTAAGGTATCACCTTAATAAAATGAAATATTTTCAAAATTGTTTTCATGAGATCTTTTTCATGATTCAAGGAAAAATGACTTTTGGGGAAAAATTTGAAATTGTTGGGACAAAATTTATCAAAATGCTAAAAATTAGAATAACGTCATGATTACATCATTATGCAATTCATTATTAATTTTTAAACGTTGATTGTTTCTTCATAAATTGCTGGAACAACTGCACTCCTTCTTTGGGTCAAAGCGTTCATTGTTGATTGACGCTGCCGTCATCGATCAATGCCACACTACCTCAATATTGCAACCTTCACAGGCATTTATTTACTGAACAACAGGTCAGCTCGAAACCAGGTACATGTACTATTTTAGACAGCCACAGCCAGCCAGCCATATGTGCATCATAGGTAAAATAGTGGCAATTTTTATGTTGTAGCGTTTATGAGTCATGTGACATGACACCCTGAAGGTGCATTCTTCAACTGTGGTTTCTACAGGACCCCAGATACAGTCAGCGCAGCCTGAAAGCTGGAACAGTAATATGGACAGGCATGTGTTATGAGCATGAAATATCAACAATGATGTGTTCATACAGTCCAATTTTCCAAAACTACTTACCGATTTGTTGATTTTCGTGTACTGTCAATGTCCTCGAATTCTGGTCATAAATTGATTATTGGTTCTGTTTGCAGATTTCCCCACTGACGCATCACAATTCACAAGAACTTCCTCAGCCTTTGCTGTGTTGGTTGTACATTATATCTACTTCAGCGCAGTTTTGGTTATGCTGTTTAATTAAGCACAAATAAATCTAACGGACTTGATCTCGCTACTTCTAATTCTGGACATTACGTCATACTTATTTCCATGAAACCAGCTTGACGCTTAATCCATAAAGGTAATGATAAAACAATGAAAATTTGTGATTAATGTGTTTTTTACTTATAGAAAAACAGTCTTTTCTCAACAGATATAGTTTACGTACATCGGAAGTCACAGTGCCGACCGTGATTGAGTACGGGACAAACCAGTGCAAACAATTTTAGGTTCCAACTCCTCAATATATGTGTACCAGAAGAACGATGCATGATCAAAACCTCTCATTACACCTGGGTTAAAATGAGACTGTAAGTCATGCAGAATGTATATTTAATCATATTGTTTGCAGGCGCGGTTCTACCCGGGGTGGGGCGCTAGGGGGTTTCATTGCCCTCCGGGAAAAACTGTTTAGCACCCCTTCCTAAAAAATGCAAATATAAAACAAAATGGAAAAAAGATGGAAAATATTGGATTCACAGTGGCAAAAGTTCAAGGTGACGTCAAGTGCGAAGGGTCTCCCCCCCCCATGGCTCTAAGCTCTCATTGGTTTTCTGCCTCGTTCGGAAACACACAAAAATCATAATGTGTCCTACCAATGAAAAGGGTACCTTTCAGTGACTGCTTAACAGTGCATAAATGCCACTCAGCTGCGATTTTTATAGTGTCATATAACTACAAGAGAAAAAAATAGTGTATGTCCTTTTTTAATGAGTAGTGAAAACATTACTGCAAAAGATGGAATAATTTGATGGACTGTTATTGCAGTGCTATACAGTACTATAATGAGCTTATTGACTGAGTCTCGCTCAACTATCAATCTCACTTGATACAGACAGCTAGCGCTGCGTCTTACCAGTATCATAAAATTAGTTCCGTGGCTGACAGGGTACGCCATGCAGTGCCATAAGATTGAAGGAAAGAAATAATTGACACTTAGAAGAGCATTTAAAGAGAAATATGCAAGGAAAGAACTTCTACATGCTCTCGGACATCACAATAGCGAAGTTTCAAATGTGTGCCAGTAAGGTTTCTTTTAATGCATAACGTTAAACGTTGATTATAGTCTGCAACAATAATACACTTATATCGCTTATAAATTTGCATGTATGGTCGGCATATCAAAAGGTAGGCTTAAGTGTTGTTCAATGCCTGATCCCCCCGGGCTCGGATCAAGAGGGAGTGAGCTATGAGACCAAAACAAAATATGAAATAAAATGAAATAGAAGATAAGGAAACTGAAGTAACAATGATAGCAATCGAAGGGATGATAATCTGCAAGAATTAAGTTATCTTCACATCAGTACATGTATATGCATTGCCATTGAGTTTCCACTGATCCGCAACGATCGGACTTTAAAACTATAGGCTTTCCATGGTTAAATTCTGTGGTTCTCATGTTATTTGGTACTGGAGGAGGCTGGGTCGGTAAGTGAAACAAGTAAGAAATCATTTGAACATGGGTAACTATTAAAGAAAAATTCGGTGATAGACTTAACCCTATTAAAGTTTAGGAAAGCAATGAACTTCTTAATCAGTGGATTGGTTCGGCTGGGATGCCTAAGGCAAATATGCACCTGTCCGATTGGCTAGGTGACCTGTTACAGTTAGGACAGGGGGGTGCGAGCGGACGATAGCTCATTACCTGCCCCCTCGGCTCGGACAAAATGGGTACCAGGCGCTCAATTTGCACTAGAATACTACTTGAACAATAATTTTTCATAATTAAATGAAAACAAGTTCTGTAATTCCTTTTTTTTTCAGTATGATGCTTCAGTTCCCTCAATCAGTTTTGGTCATGGAGGATCGTGACACAGTGACACTCTATCGACTTCACGCTGTATATATTGATAAGTAATGTAATTTGAGAATCCCTTGTACCTTGAGGTCGTAAAGGTCGTTTAACTACTACCCCACATGCATGCAGCCATGCAAGTGATATAAAATTTACTAGGGTATTAAAATTATACTTAGCTAGCCTCTCAAGTCATATCATTTTTTAATTACGCAAGTGAAACACAAAGATACAGACTCACTGAAGCGTAATACTGTTTTCTGTTATTCCCTCATACAAAACATCAGGAGAGTCCATTCTGTGGAATTTGGTGTTCAGACGATCATAATCCATCAACTTGAAATCAACTTTGCTGCTGACTTTGGTATCACCATGGAGATTTATTTCTCCATGGTATCACTATGCCATCAAAGGGGGCGCCTTTAAACCAACATTTTCACAGAATCCATGGGTCCAAAGGAGAATATGGATATTTATGTCTGCTACCCAGTCTTCTATTCCATTTCGGTAAACTTACCTTTTACTGGTCTCTGACTTCGGTCACGTAGCCTGCCTGCAGCTGCCGGTTTACCGTTTGGGGTTCCGCGTTCCTTGGCCTTTCGCTGACTGCCTGCCCAGTCGCCGGTAATTTGGAATATTAATTTTGACCAATTTCCTCATTGGAGAATGGCTTTGAACAAACTTAGCATTGATGGAATCGATTTCAGTGGAAAACGAGCTATCATGAGGTGAGCTGCTTTATTTGGTCGTGTGCAAATTGATTATGTATGGCTGGCGACCGTGCGGCGATTGTGGTCCGACATCCGCTCCGCTCCCACGTCGGAGTTCGGACCCCACAGTTCTAGGGGTTGCGGCCATGGAGGTAGCCTAGGTACGAAAACCTCCATGATAATGGTGATACGACTGACCATCCTTGCTTTATGGACTAACCGTTCATGCTCACTGGTGGTCCGAGGTTGTTCCATTAATTACACTCAAGTCTGGGCAAAGGGGCAACTCTCCATTCACTTTGTACAGGGATTTGGCCTGGTCCTACATGTTTTCCTTCTGTTTTGCTGCAACGTGATAAAAATAACGGAAACCTTTTTGGTACAATGTGGGATATATTTTTCATAGTGCATAAATAGTGAAATTAAACTTAAGGCACATTTGATAGAAAGGTGAAGTCAATGCATAGTCAGTGATTCAGATTTTCCCCATAGACTGCAACACTGTTTTTGCCCTTTGAGTTTCAAGTGCGAAATATGGAATAGCCACCAATTGGCCAATCAGAGAGAAGAATCAAGACTCATTGACATTATTGTCCCAACCGTGAGAATCAGCGAAACTGTTTAGACTAACGTTAGACATTCTAGAGAGGCCTTGTAAGCCTACAGGCCTACTTCCAGAATTCTGGAAGGAGAACTGTAACTTAAGGCCTAGGCCTAACTTGCAAGGTTTATACATGGACCAATTGGGCCAATCACAGTGTGGCTTTCATCTGTGGGTGTCAGGAAAACAAGAAGGAAAAGATAGGGGCTGTGCTGCGATTGGTCAAGCTGACATGCTGTTGATAGTGATTGAGAGTGCATTCTGCTGGTTTTTTGTAGTGTGGATGGGCAAAATGCTCAAGAATTTCCCCATTATAATGAGGGTATAAAGTGAATGAGCCTCCCATCAGACATCTACATGTAACTTCACCAAGAAGGCATGCATGAAATTTTGCTGTACCAATAGCTGTGATGGCAGAGTAAGTTGGGACAATCAAAACAGCCAAAATGCTTTGTTTATGCGAGTTTGTACATAGCTATCTAGAAGGCTAACTACTTCCAGAACCTAATCATGCTAGTTCTGGAAGTAGTTAGCCTAGCTACCTTTTTTTTTCTTCCACTGATCGAGGAGGCATCTGACATTTTGTTCACGAATTTCAAGTCCTTTATGACTCAAATGCATTGTTAAAAGTAAGCATTGAGGAGTAAACTAGTTGTAAATCCTTCTGTTTCCTTGCTCTAGTCTGTGTAAGCATGGAGGAATGTTGGCTGCCTCCTCGACCCCTTCGACCCAACATCATTACATGCTAAATGACCCACTATTCTTCAACCCCATGCCATAGCATGGATAGATTGAGTAGGCCTGTGTATTTTTTTATAATGGGCCTATTATTGTGGAAATCAAGATTTTGCAAGCTAAAACTGAGTACAAAAAATGATGGCGCAAACGTCTGTCATTTCTTTTTCAATGCAGACCACACACACAAACATATGCCAAAGTTTGTCAGTTTTTTTATTGAAAGGTGTACATGTAATAGGTCATGCAACTTATGTTTGACACAATCACATTAAAACCAGTTTAAAAAAAGAGCCTATGAATAAGATCTTGTTGATAAATTATGTACGGCATGTGAGTAATGCCTGAATATAGGGACCTGTCCATTTTTTTGTGCCTGTGTCAGAACACATTTTCTAATTTCCAATCTGAGTGATGAATTAATGCAAGTTACCTGCCAAACAAATAGTAATAGTGTGAAATCAGTTCTAAATCTATGTCAAATAACAAAGGTCAGATGTAACAGGGACACAAAAACGTCGTGAACACTTTTAGACCCCTAATTTTTTTAATTAACCACATGACTAGAAATTTTGACTAAAGAGCGTTGTCTTTGATGTCTGTGAATATCTTGTGTTTTGATAGGGAAACAGCCCACACCGATATGTCCTTTGTAACCGAAGCCCAATCCTTCAGACACAATGTACATTATTATCTAAACAACAAAGTGAAATCATAATCTTTATTTTCCATGGCATTTTCTGGGTCGCATCACTGACAGCTTTTTTATTGCACTCAATCACAGAACTTGAAATGCTTGCAAGAGAATGTGGAAAAAAGTTCCCAGTTCCATTGTCTTTGTTATTCCCCAACTATAGCGCAGTTGGGCTGCCCAAACTATGGTTGGCCAATTTCTATCCAGTTCATGTGACGTGTGACGTCACTTCAGGTTAAACCATGCCCACTGCACATGCACCGCACATAGAGTTACATTCATTGATTGCCGTTTACATGGAACCATGGAACCGGAAGTTAACGCCCAACTTCAGTGATCGTCCAATGAGAGCCTGCAAATCGTGGCGCGTCCACCTTTGTGACGAAGTCATTTACAAACTGGATGGAAATTTTCTCAAGTTTCTCAATCTGTGAAGTAAAAAGGAAGTAACAACTCATTTCTGCAAGCACGAGTTGATGATGTAAACAAAAATGCTACACATGGCACACATTGGACCTCTGTCCCAACTATAGTTGGGCTGCCCCAACTATATAGCACTATTGTTGGGTCTGTCCCAACTGTAATTGGGAATGATGCTCTACAATGTACAGTAGTTGAGATGTAACATCTTGATATTGAGCGTTGTCCCTTAGCATGCATGTGGTCTAGAGTAAAAGATGTTTTTCATCCCCATTGTTTATGAACAGCTTGTAAGCTTGACCTATGCACTTTTACTGGTTGATCTCTTCATGCTGAGCTATTTTGTTTGCCTGTTTGCCCTCTTATTGGTGTCAATTTGTTTATGTTAATGTGACATTTCAACCTGTTTGTTTCAGAGTGGACTTCAACGTTCCTCTCAAAGATGGTAAAATCACCAACAATCAGAGGTAAGAAAAATATCAGATATCTCTACAAAATTTCACTTTTGTCAAGGAAGAAATTACCCAATAACTGTGTTGGCTGACACTTCATGTCAGAAAGTGACCATAACAAAGTTATCGTTTTGTCTGATTTCACACAGGATCGTTGCAGCCTTGCCAAGCATCAAGTATGTCTTGGATAAAAATGCTAAATCGCTGGTTCTGATGAGTCATCTTGGTCGGCCAGATGGTAAGAGACAGGAAGCATTCACCCTCAAACCGGTGGCTGAAGAACTGAAGAGACTTCTGGGAAAGTGAGTGATGGGTGCAGAGCTGCATATAGAGAGAGTGGCGCCATTGTTTGGCCGTGTTTGTTTCACACGGATCTGGATCAAGATCAGTTATCCATCGTTGGTTTACAAACACCAGAACTCACCGAATGGATGGTGGGAACCAGCGTGAGGATCACTGATCACGATCCAGATCCGTGTGAAACAGACAGGCCCTCAGACTTTGGAACCAAAATGGCTGTTCATTATGTATGCAGTACAGCGTGGAGCTATTGTGTGCTAGTTGTCCATGTGAATTGAAGCATAATCCACCATTTTGGTTCCAACGATTGAGACATTCATGTCTCGACTCTCTCTTTAAACAGCTCTGGATGGGTGACATCAAGAGCACTTTTGATTTCAGTCACAGGATGGCAGTTAGAAACAAATGTATTGTACACAAAAGATTACCAAATCTGATGGTAAGAAAGTGTGGGGAAAAAAGTTGAAAGTTGCACTGTGAACTGGTGAACACCAGCTAGACTTCCACATGATACTGGAGGAAAATCATTCCACAGAGACTGAACATGAATCACACAAAAAGTGATCAAAAGAACTTATAGAAGTTATAAGATAATGAAATAACTTATCGTGATAAACAATAACCTAACTGCTGAGTTTTTGTCTTCTAGAAGAAACCTGGTTTTCTTTGACTAAATTTGTTGGTTTTTGCCTGAATCAAGCAGCATGCAGAGCTTGAATTACAACAGCCTACAGATGTCTTGTCCTGTTGTCTTAATGTCTTTGTAGGGATGTTCAGTTCCTGTCTGACTGTGTTGGTCCTGAAGTGGAAGCTGCCTGTGCTGATCCTGCCGTGGGATCCGTTATCCTGCTGGAAAACTTGAGGTTCCATCCCGAAGAAGAGGGAAGTGGGAAAGATGCAGAGGGGAAAAAGGTTGGCGTCTGCCTCCATATTAACCTCTCCTTTTGAATGATATAAGCTTTGAAAGGAAAACATGTATGGATGAGTTTTGTTATTTTGACAAGGCTGTGCTTTCAACAGTGATGAGAGTTTTACAGTGTGCTCAAAACAAAGATATTTACAAAGATATAAACAAAGAATTCTGAAACATTGTTGCCTCTGAGATCATGTTTATGTCTCTATGCACATATCAGCTGTGAGGTTTCTCAAAGGATAACACTGCTGATTAGTGACATCTACTTTGGACACATTGAGCCACGTCTTTTGGGAATAGAAGTAACAAAAACATGACACAGAAAATACACAGAATGAGGAAAAGGGAAATGTGAAAAGATGAATGCAATACCTAGTATTTGAAGTTGTGCAACAAAGTGTGGTACATGTACCGTAACATTAAATAGGTATTAGGAAGCAAACTACATTCTGATGCATCTGAATGAAGCCATGTTGCTGCTGGCAATGACATAATCAAGCAAAGTATGTGACAGGGCATTATAAAGTGATCAGCCACATGTCTGTAGACCTGATACTGTTTGCCTTTGGTCCTTTCAGGTGAAGGCCAAAGAGGAGGATGTCGCCGCATTCCGTGCATCTCTGTCCAAACTCGGTGATGTTTACATCAATGATTCATTTGGGACTGCCCACCGGGCACACAGGTGAGGGAAAAATATTACACTTTCCCACTTCCTTGACCATTGATGCAAAGATGCTGTCTTTTATTAACAACACATTCAATGCAAGTTTTGCTTGGCAATATCCAAATTTTTTTTTACAATATGGCACTAGGCAATGTGTTGAAGCCATGGCGTCGCTTACTGTATATATGGGAGTGACCCAGTTCTTTATCAAAATACCAAAGAACGTTCCAAACAGAACACTGCTTGTTTCGATTGGAAACATCTTCTGTTCTGTCTTTAGAATAAGGCTTTTTGCCAAATGGGAGTAACAGGGTCTTAAACATGGGGACAGCTTGTTCCTAATCGGAATACAGCAAAATCCCACCCGGAGTAGTGTTCCATAACAGCATTTTCTAACTTTGGGATGTTTCCTTGCGATTTTAGACCTTTCTTTTGCCACTTCTGACGGCAATAATACATGTGTCTCTTAATTTTTTTAATAATCTTATGACAGTTCCATGGTTGGTGTTGCTCTTCCTCAAAGAGCAGCTGGCTTTCTCATGAAGAAAGAACTGACTTACTTTGCCAAAGCTTTGGACATGCCAGAGAGACCCTTCCTGGCCATCTTAGGAGGGTAAGGATATCACCACCAGCTGGATTGGGATTGTTTGCATTTTCGCCCATTTTTTCCACATGGAAGAAGTCTTTTTTGGGGGGGGTCGATCCAGTCATGCAGCTTTACCTCGGATCAGCTGATTTCTGGTTTTCACTGCATACTCATGCCATTGGAAATTGAAAACAAAAACTGTATAAAGCCTTGTAAAGATTTTTTCCTTGTTTTGGTCAAAGTTGCATGCCATCCCAATATACATGTACTGTGAGCATCTTATCATAAACATTTTTATTACGTCAACGAGAAAAAGTTTATCTAGTTTCAGGAAGCTTGCAGCTAAAAGGGCATGCAGATTACATTTGTACAAATATGTACATGTAGCATGCGGGAATGTTTTTTAAACTGAAATGTATATGTAGAAACTAAATCAAACTATAGAGTACTGTATGAGGTGGAAGGAATATACCGGGAGGTCAGAAAAGGATGACCCTGTGACCTCTAGAGTAATGCTTTACTAGGCCATTCATGCTGTGTGACCACATTGTATGGAACTCTCTTCTTGTAGAGCCAAGGTGAAGGATAAAATCCAGTTGATTACCAACTTGTTGGACAAAGTCAATGAGATGATTATTGTTGGTGGGATGGCCTTCACTTTCCTCAAAGTACTCAATGGCATGGAGGTACGTGAGCTCCTAAGGTCACACCTTATTCTCCATTGACTGCAGACTTTCCAAATCCACCAAAATTCTGCCCTCGTTCCATCAAATTCTCTGGTGTAGGAAAATAACTAACTACATGTCTCGATAATTATTGAATTTGTTCATTTCATTCAAATCATACTGCAGAATGCCTGGTCTTGCTCAAGCTCTTGCTTTTCAAATGTCAAATCTTTGTTTTCCTCTAGCCCAATTAGACAGTCATTTGAATGTTGATTGCGTGATATGAAAAAATGCAATAAACCAACAATAAAAAATCAATAATTTGCAAAAACTCCCCCAAACGGACATGGTTTTATGTGTGGTACTCTGTGCTCCGGTTTTCTTGGCATTAAAAAAGTGGATGTTTAACTGTACCTTTTGAATGAGATTGTTGCTAAACCGTAATGCTTTTGCATACTATTAGCAAGTCAGTGGGGTATCCCTGAGACACCCCTGCAGCTAAAACCTAGGCTTCTGATACTCAAAGAGGTGTTCTCTTCACAATGTTCTATCTGATGCTTCCAACCCACGTCCTGTCGATGACAGATCGGGAGCTCCTTGTTTGATGAGGATGGATCTAAGATTGTTGGGGAGCTGATGCAGAAGGCAGAGAGGAAAGGCGTGGCAATCCACCTGCCAACAGACTTCATCACGGGCGACAAGTTTGCCGAGCATGCTCAGGTTGGATCAGCCACCGTGGAATCGGGAATCCCTGCCGGCTGGTTGGTAAGCAGTCTTCATTGCGCATTATTGGCAGTGTTACATGTACATTTGTTAAATGTTGACTATCTCTGACTTGTTTAGGGGTTATTTTGGTGTACATTGATAGTGGATGTTTAATTTGTTGGAACATATTTACAGGTGTAGTTACAGCTAGCTGACTAGTGCCATCTACACTTGTTTTCAAGGCTAGAATTTAGTGGACAGTGCAATTGTTGAGCCTAACCTCTAAGCTTGGGGGAAAGGAGACTAGGGTTAACAGATGCACCCTTTTGCGTGGATTCTTGGCTGAATGAGTTCATCTCTGCATTTCCAAACCTGCCTTGGGTTCTTTTCCTTGTTGTCATGATCCAGTGCATGTTTTGGAACCAAAGTGGCGCTTATACTGTGGTAAATTGTGCAATACTGGCCATCATTGTTGATACAGTATAGTGTTTGCTGCAAACCTTGAACACTTGGAGTAGGGTTTGTGTGGGATGTAAGATCAGTAAATTGACCTGTGAGAATGATCATCAATTGTTTCCTCAGGGACTTGACTGCGGAGCCAACAGTGTAGCCAAATTCACAAGTGTTATTGAGAAAGCTAAAATCATTGTATGGAATGGGTGAGTTTAACAGTCCAGAGGTGTAAATAACAGTGCGTTGCTGTGGTATATTAATGTAGTCATCAAACATTTTATGTTCCTTTGGTGGACTAGTTCCTTCCCGTCTGTGTTTTGAAGTCAGCATTCTGTTTACCACATTGGAAGAACACATTTGAATAAAACTACTCGTGCAAATTTAGTTTTATGCCTGTCTCTCCCAATCAGAGATTAGTGGACTTCCCATTTTTTTTTACAAATATAAACATTTTAGTGAGCCTTTGCAACAATTCCTAACTCTCAACTGACAGAAAACCCATCAGTTGTTCCTGATAATTGAGCGCTCTTGGTATTAATGTTTTCTCGACAGACCTGTGGGCGTTTTTGAGTATGAGAATTTTGCTTCTGGGACTAAAGCCGTGATGGATGCCGTGGTGCTGGCCACACAAAAGGGAACAACAACCATCATCGGTAGGAAACCAAAATTGGAAACAGTTTATTACAGTTTGTTGGAGACGGGAAGCAGAGGGTCTCTGCACTAGCATGAAGGTGTCCCAGACGGGACTGACACTTCACCTGGTCTGTTCTTAGGCGTCCGTCTTTAGATTTTGGTTAATGCAGGGGTGAGATTGACCAATGATAAAAATAGCTGAAAACAGCTGAAAAAAGGCATAAAAAAGCTGAACTGTGAAAATCTCCTATACTTTTGTGCACAGCCAGTGAGGAAAAACAACTGAAATGCCAAACAAAAAAAGCTGAAATCAGCTAAAAAGCTGAGAAATCTCATCCCTGTTAATGTTGTTGCCTCAAAGGAACGTAACGCATAACTGAGGAATGATGGACTGTATCTTTATATCTCCTACTGTAGGTGGTGGTGATACAGCAACCTGCGCAGCTAAATGGGGCACTGAGGACAAGGTTAGCCACGTCAGCACTGGGGGAGGGGCGAGCCTGGAACTACTGGAAGGTGAGTAGAGGGTAGAGTGAATGAATAGCAACAGAGGTCATTGACCCCTCATTGCTTGACGTCAGACTAGCAACAGAATACGGCCGTTTCGCAATAGTGCGCCACCAAGAGTTTGCAACGCGTTGGCCAATCACAACGTACAAAATTTGTCGACCCTTTCCAAACGCGCATTGGGTCGACAAATTTCGCGCATTGTGATTGGCAAATGTGTTGCAAACTCTTGGTGGCGCACTATTGTGAAACAGCCATATTGCCAGCTAAGATACCGGCTACTTTTAAGTAGGATAGTGATTCTGTTTGCTGATTTGGTAATTTCTCCTTGTCATGTGGCAGCCTAGAAACTATAAATTATTCCACTTGTAAGTTTACTGATGTAGCATTGAGAGGGAAGGCTGTGTTTAAATAGTTTGAGTGGAGTTTTCAACAGCAAATGGCAAATTTCACCGGGAGGAATGTTGTAGTTATCATCAAAAGCTGAGTTTCCTTAGTCCATGCGTTTTCTACTGAAGTAAGAAAGCAGTGACTCTATATCTACAGTCGGGTGCCTGTTGAATTTTCTTCATGTCAGTTTTCCTCATTTGAACCCCTCGCAGGTAAGATACTTCCAGGAGTGGCTGCGTTAAGTGATGCATGACTGCCAGGGAGGATATCAAATCTTTGATGTTAGTATGAAAGTCAAAACCTCAGTGTGGATGTGCGTGTAGTTCCTTCCTGGAGGGTATACAGTTAGACTATGATTAGGTGTGGTGAAGCTTCCCTGGCTAGATACGGTGCTGTTGTCAATCTTTGAATAATTTTCAGATCATATATCCTCTAGCAGCGTGTTTCTTCAGGGTTGAAGAAAACATCTCTTTCATGCGCAAAGTGATTTACCATTTGTTTTTTTTTACAGTCAAATAAGGGAATGTCTTTCACCAGTGTCAAAATTAGACTGTCTACATCTTGAAGTTGGGAAATTGAATGAAAATATCTCACAACGGGACTGCCAAAAAGTTAGTCAATTTGAAAAGGACCCCCAAGAGCTTACTTTATCACAGTAACTTGGACCCAGCTACACGTAGATCTTGCCATAGGCTTATTCGCATGGAATCAACATTACAAGAAACAGGATAGGGTATGTCCTTCCTAGTCTCTGTACCCATTGACCCTTGACCCTCAGTTTAGGGTTTGTTGTGGATTACCAGCTAGTCAAATTGTGTTGGTGTGGAAATTCCCAACATGCCCTGTATTCAGGTATCAGCTACAGAAAATTACTCGCATGTTATTTTGAAATGAGCAGTTCCTGCTGCATGGAAGCAACACATGGAAAGCAATGAGAAAGTTTCATTGGATTTTAAGTGAAGTTGATCAAAGCATCGTTATGTTTGCATGTCTTTCCTATTTTAGAAGATTTGCAATGTTTCAAACAAACTAATATGAGAATTTTGTATAAGGCGTGATTGGTAAAAAAAACTTTGCTCACCCTTCTTTTCATAGGGCATATTCGAAACCCCATTCTCGTGTTAGACGAACACGAAAACGGGGTTTTGAATGGGGAGAATCAACGCGCCAACATTGTTCGCAAACAAGATTCTCACTCCCCCACTTGGGGAGTGGATGGAGACCATCAAGAATAAAGATGGCGGATATAAGCACATGCCTTAATTTAATGTTGGTTTTGTTGCGTAAAATAGAACACACTCACAATAAGGAAAATGAAACCCAGGGCAAATACTCACGGCTCTTGGAGAGAATTTACCCTGACCATTTAATCTGGATATTTAGGGATTTTTATTTAATGTGACATGGTAAATTTCATGCCATCTTTCCATTTAGTGTCAAAATGGCGACTGCTATCTTGACTTTCAGCGCAGCTGCACTCCTTTTGCACGGCGTTCGTAATCAACTACCCAAGAACACTGTTTTTGTGTTTTGGCAGACTGAGGTTTCAAATATGCCCATAAATATTTTAACATTCTATCCAAAAGTGAAGGTGTTAAACAAAGCTTTAATTAAAAGACAATGTCAGGTACAAGTACAGGCTTATACGGCCACCAAAAAACAGTACTTGGCTTTTCACCACAAATTCAAAGAAAACGAGAAAATGTCATATTTTGAAATTTATTTTATTTATGTTTACAAAATGAGGGTTTTGTATAATCTCATGTTCCAACTTTTAAAACCTAATAATAGTGAAATCAAATACAACTGACTGACTGCTAATGAAAAAAGTTAAATGTTTATTGATTGGAGTGGAATCCCCACAAACAAGACGTAGAATCATGAATAAAATTCTCTTCAATATAAATCTGTTGGTTGTGTTCAAATACTGTGGTCATTTCGAATAGGGCCTTAAACTTGGAAATTAATGTGGATTCAAGCACAAATCTGCAGCAGGTGCGCCACAAAGTCACAGCTACATGTACTTGGGGCAAGTTGGAGTGACAACTACAGTCAACTAAATGTGTAGTTATCTGCATGATAGAAGACTGGACTTTCTAGTCGAACAATAATAACCAGCGCATGGTTCTCTATGGACCTCGAGCTGGACCAAGAGAGGGCGCTATTTTCTTAGCAACGGAGGCTCCTTTGGTCAGAACTGAACTTTGCTGGTTCACAAACTACCAGGAAAATGCATGCATCACAGTCCCATTACTACCAACAAAATACACACTTCTGACCAACACGGCCCTTTTCAACCAATGAGGGGGTGCATCTGCTTGAGGCAGGTAGCCCTTTTCATAATCGTACATAGTGAAGAATTGATCACATGAAACTACACCAGATGGCAGAGACTGAATGCAGGGAGAGTGGCAACCAGAGGTGAAGGAACTGGCAAAGAAATGGTTCATTAATTAGGATCATTTGAATGGGACAGTACTACACATACGCACATTGGTGAGAAACCACTGACTACTGGTCAAGCTTCAGTCATTCCAACTGCAATGTAGTATTGGTCCCAGACTGGTTGTGGGTTACAACCTGACCATAGCAGTTGATCTGTATTAGCAATCTGCCTCAAGCAGAAGCACCCCCTCATTGGTTAAAAGGAGCCACATTGGTTGAGAGTATTCATTTTGTTGGTAATGATGCGATCGTGCATGCATTTCCTAGTTGTTTGTGAACCAGTAAAGTTCTGTCCCGACCAAAGGTGGCTCTGTTGCTGAGAAACTTTCACCTTCTCTTGATCCAGCTTCATAGAGGGCATTATCAAGAACCTGAATTAACATAACTCAAGAAATTGGCCTACTCAAGAAATTCTGCTTATTTCATGCGATTAATTACATGAGGCATGCTTGAAATTCCTCGGTGGCTTATGGGATTGTGATGGCGCTCTCTCCTCATCGAGCATAATTGCAATTGCATTAGCCAACTGTCTATGCGAGCATCAGGAAAACATTATCCAAATGCATTGCTACGTTTCTACGTCGTCAGCTTCTGCGACCAGGCAAATCCAAGAATGAATGTTTTCGGAGGGTTCTAACATGTACGTTAGCACTTGTTAACCACATTACATTCAGGTTTCCATTATCCTCAGGTCGGCAAGAAGGCTGATGGGTGAGGCAATGGCTAATGCCTGATTGTTTAAATGAAGTAGGATAGACATTAATATTGAAAGCACATGTACGTGCAGAAGCCAGTCTACCAGCCACAGGTTGAGAGTGGCAGCCAAGAGTAGGTTTTGCCAAGTTCCCAGTCGTTCCAACAGACATTTTCAATGCTTCACAACAGGTCCAGAAATTCGCTGCGCCCAACAGGACTTGCAATAGTTGAGTGTGTCTTCAGCTGTTATTACCTTGTCAGTTTGTCACTGAGTATTTGTCTCGTTGTGGCGGGGTCTGCTCTGCCTTGTGTCATCTTCTTCACTTCCCCCATGAGACGATTGATGACCTTGGTGTTCCCTGCCATGTAGGAATCCACCTAAACAAAAGCACATTTTTGATTTGGAAAGATGTCAATCGGGAACCTTCATTGACGTACATAGGTAATTCCAGGAAATAGGGTTCCATTTTGTTGCGTGTCCCTATCATGTCTGACATATGATTTTTTAAGTTTAGAACACATTTTCTAATGCCTAAGCTTGAGAAATGAATGCAAAGCACCTGCTAAACAAATAGTAATAGTTTGAAATCAATTCTGGTGATATTTCCATGTCAAATAACAAAGGTCAGATGTAACAGGGACATGAAAATGTTACGCTTTTGGACCCCTTATTTCTGGAATTACCCACGTGTAATGTATTCAACATCGCATGCTCAGAGCTTTCCACTAAAAAGTGGGGAAAAATTACAGGCTTGTTGCTTTGGTAAAACACAAATCTAACAAGCCACAACCTCCTGCTTACCCAGCTTGTTTAAGCATTTATCATACTAGGCAACAGAGAGATGATCAACCAATTAGAACACAATGTTTACAGGCCTAATCTTCAAACGGTTGGCAGTTGGGGACACAGGAGGCTGCCTGCATAAGGTGACTGTCCATTACAACAGCGGCACAATGCTGATGATGCCCATGTCACATGCACTTGTGAACACGAGGTAGTTGGCAAGCGTATACACCTTTTGGTTGAAAAGGCATTTCACATGTGCCACACACCCCTGGACTCGTACCTCCGCAGTCACGGCTTTATTGTAAGTTTGGATCAGTCTATATTTTGTACTCACCAGTTTCTGGTTATTTGCCAAGACCTGTTCACACAGTTGACTCAGTTCCTGTCTATCTGTTATCTGAGCCCAGCCTTTCTCGTGTATGATCTACACAAACCAGAGATAAAAAAGTGGACTTTTCTATTTCCAACGTGTCATACCTACTGTACTTAACCTTCTTAAGAGGAGCCAAGTGAATCTTAATGGAATTTAAAAACTAAAAAAATGAGTGAAAATAATAAAGTTCCGTTGGCTTCGAAAAACAATCAAGCTACAGCAAGCTCCATTTTTGAATTGATCATTCTACAGACTTGTGAGCTACAGTGCCTAGGGCACTTTTGACGAATGCTTGGTGTCATTGCCAGAAATAAGGAATAAATAATAGTAATAATTCAAGTCTAGATACACAAATATCGAGATGGTCATTCAGCACTTATGAGACATGGTTACTCAACACTCATAAGAAACTTCAGATTATTTTCGCAGCTTCATCAAAAATATTGGCACAGCCAAGAGGAATCACACTGATAGCACTTTAATTAATTTAAGCAGAAGCATAGTCAAAAGAAACTCCAGGCATACCTGGGTGATTGGTCTGGAGTCGCCCTGAAATATTTCAGCTGTGAGTCTCTTGCCAATGTTTGCAGAGATCGTCCCATCAGTCATGAGATCATAAAGTTCACCAAGTTTACTAGGATCCACTGGACTGAAGAGAGGAGAGATGCTTTTGTAAAGTTACACATCCTGAAGTTAAAAAGAGGACTTTCCTATATCTAAATTGTCTTACTTAATAGGTGTTATGGTTGTTTCTGAGCAATTTTGTCCAGAAAAAATCCATCATTCATCAAAGTCAATTCTGGGAATATTGAAGAGTGTTTCCTTTGAACATTATTTTGAATTGTGTTTGTTCTATTGTTGGCCATGATCAATGGGTCTCCATGACTCAAATGTACTGTGCTACCTAAGGGTAAATCTTGTATGAAATCTCTGACTTTATTCCCCTTTTGAAAACAGTCTTCAACACCCATAAATAAGGCCGCAAATTGGCTGATGAAGGCCAGGTTGACAGATTTTGTACTGTACTTTTCCAATAGCACAGTGCAATTGAGCAACCAACACTTACATACCTCTTTGATACAGGGAGATCATAGTCATTCAAGTTTTTCAAGAGTCCTGTCTCAAGCCAGTTGACTATCTTCTTTGGATCTCTGTTAGAATTCTGACTGATCACGGCCTCAAAGAAATCAACCAAGCCATCCTCATTCTGAAAGACAATTTGCAACAAAGAAATCACATTGCATTGAAATTAAGTAAATACATCTTTGAGGTAATTTTTTCAAATCAATTTTAAGTAAATTAGTTTATCCACTTTTGATCTTTGTAGTTAAATATCTGTTTTAGCCAGTGCAAAATGATGACAGGTGCAAGGTAGATGTGTATTTCATCATTCATTTGACCAATTTGCAATTCATACCACAAGCTTCACTGCACTTTCAAGTCTGATCCCATAATCCTTCACAAGCCGCTCTCTCTTGGCTTCAGGCAATTCAGGTAAGCGACCTTTGACCTCATCAATATTCACGACACTTCTCGCATCAGAGGCAGTGTGGATGGTGGAGTTGTCGTACAGGATAAGTGGTGGTAGGTTGGGTTCTGGCATGAAGCGGTAATCTAGCCTCCCTTCCTTGTCACGCATAGACACTGTCTCCCTGGGAAATGGTACAGACACAATTAAGTTGGGCCTACATACATATACATTTGTTGGTCATGTCCAAAAATTAAAGCCCCTCGTGATGATGTGCTACAAATGAGTGGTATTAGTTTAGTATTAGTTTTCCAAGATGACAACAGATGACTTTCTGGTTTCCCTCAAAGGAACAAAGTCATGGGTGAAGGGATGTATTTTACAAAGTGGAAAGCAGGCAAAAGCTCCTTGCAGTGCCTTCCATTTTGTATTTAGTTATGATCGATGCTTCTGTAGGGTCCTGAATTCCTCAAAGTTCTCACAACATTTCACACTAGAATTCAACAATTTTTGTGATGTTAAGTTTCATCAACAGTGCTACTCAATTTGGCTTTGTACTGTGTAAATAGGGCAGATTTACACTGCTCTGTAGTTGAGGCTCAACCAAAATGCATGAATTTAGTCTTGTAGATTTTCAATCCCCTTACAGACGCTAAACGCTAGACATTGCAGCTAGTACTTATGTCTGCCATTACCCATATTGTATGTACAGTATACCTTTCTTATCAGTAATTAATTTGTAGGAAAGTTCTCGTACATACTAGTAAGATAAATGAACATACATGTATTGTGAATTTGTCTGAATTTGGCACCTTGCCAAGATGACAGTTTTTTGGCATTAAACCCTTTCAATTCGACACCAGCAAGGTTGGCATTCTTTCCAAAGTGTCTATGGATGATGATGTGCTTACCCCAGTCTCAGGTCAAAAGAGCGCGTTTCTGCTGCCACTTCCTGCCCATTCTCAAGAAGCTCAATCTGTCTGGCTATCTCAAAATCTGCCAAAATGAAAAGAACAGAATTCCATGCCCTTCTAGTCAATCTTATAAAGCATGGTTGGTTTCAATGTTCAACTCTGGTGTGCCTGGTTCTGATTGGCAAGAGTCTGTGAGCATGTGCCTCACCATGAGCATGCCAAGTCCATATAAAAGGATATTCTATTGGACAACTTTCCAAAGGAATATACCATTAAAGGGACGGGGGTGTTTGGTACAATGAAAGTAAAATTCTAAAAACAAAATTGTTGGAAATCCATCATGTATTGACTTCTTTTGACTCTCCGAAAAAAACGGTATTTATGAATTGAAATAGACTGAACACTGCCAGCATCCATTCTCCTGAGCCAGTCTTAAACGCACGTTTAAGATAGATGCTAATAAGCACAAATTTATCTCCTTGTTAAAAACCCATTCTGTCTTAAACACTAACCTATTGCATTTTTGACAAAGCGAATGCTGTTGATGTTCTTAACCTCAGCCCTGACACCTGGTGGGTTGCCTGGCCGATTCACTGAGACGTTGGCATCGACACGAAGGGAGCCCTCTAGAATAAAACAAAAGGATAATCATTAGAGACTGAATAAAGAAGAATTGGAAGCTGCGGCCTGCGGAATCCCGTAGCAATATCGTACTAAGCAAAACAACTGCTAAATTAGCAGTTTCCCAAATAGATAATATATTTTTGACTTTGGATGCTTCATAGACACGATCTTTGGATTGGATAAGTCTTGCCAACAATACAAGCTGCAGTAATATCAAAATTTCTTTTCCTTTTGAAACAAACCCACCTTCTTTATCAGTTCTAACGGAACTATTTGCTAATGGCTACTGTGTGCAATTTACAAATACAATACCCACGTACGATCCATGCGTCCATCACAGGTTCCAATACACTGCAGAATGAGCTGTAATTCCCTGACCATTGCTGCTGCTTCCAGGGCGCTAGACAGGTCTGGTTCAGTCACTATTTCCATCAATCCAACACCTAAAAGTGATGCAAATAAAATCATTATATGAAACCGTTTCACTCAAAATACATTTTAAAATACACTCGTGAATTTCAAATCCCAATGGTGCATATTTTGCATAATCATTTAGGCCTGAGTTCCTCTGATTCGAGTAATTTGATTTATCATAACACAAAACCGTACAGAACATGCAAAGCACATACAAGGTGTAATAATACGCAAGAAAATATCAAATTTCAATTTTAATCAAATTGGTGATTTTCATCCCCTTTCATCTCTTGTTACCTTTGTTTCGTTTTCCTTCTTCCCTTTTTTCTCCTTTTTAATGATTCAATTTATTTTTCTAATGCCCACGGGGCAGGGGGAGGATTCATTCAAATGGGGCATAGAGTGGGTGAGGCAGGCACAAGTGAGGGTGTATAGTACCTGCTCGGTTAAGGTCTACCAGTGTCTCATGATTGACATCGTCATGGAGACTCTTGCCAGAGTCTTGCTCTATCTGAATCTGCTTGATCCTGACACAGTGCCTTGTCGGTTCAAGTCTCTGCTGCTCGTTAAATAATGTGAAGGTCAGCTGACCATCTGTTGCTATGGGAGCCCGCTGCTGGGTGATCTGGTACCCTGACTAATAGCAATTCAAACCAAAACTCAAAACATCAGGGAATGAAACAATAAAATAAACAAGATAATACTGAAATGCAAAAGTCATCGAGGTGTTTGCTCTGACCAAACACATAAATCTATCCTACAACTGTTGAGAATTCAGGACTGTCGGAATCAATGAAACCTGCATCACGGCATCAATACTGTCTACAACACTTTCATCATATCCAGGTTAACTCTAAGACACTGACAAAACCAGAACTTCAACTTGTGGTTTCAAGAAAACCCAAAACTGACACTCTATGAACGTACAGCTTCACATTGCCAATCATTGACCACCAATGCAAGGGTGCTGGTCAGTTCAAATACTTCTTTTTACTAATCACAAAATAAGGAAGGCTTGACGTTTTGATCCTAGCAGAATATTTCTCAAAGGTAAATTTTTTTTTCATTAAGGGTTTTCTTGGGCTGAATGAATCCAAATCCAATGCTGTGAAGATGGACTCACGACCACAGATCCCAGCCATTCCATGGACTGATTCACAGGGATTTTGTTGTGGTATAAAGAACATGCAATTGGGTCACTCCACACAGTCAAATGATTTCGAATGATTTAGGACAGGTGTTAATATAATTTGCAAAAGAGTTAGTAGATGATTTTCCACAAGCTCTGGAGATCCACGCATTTGCTGACCTACCGGTAAATCTGCATAGAAGTAATGCTTGCGATCGAACAGTGAGCGCCTGTTGATATTACAAGACAAAGCTAATGCCGTCATCACTCCAGCTTCCACACAGCGCTTATTAAGGACCTTTGCATATAAAATGGACACACAGGATTCATTTTGTATACTTGATACTTGATTTAAAAACTTGGTAATTTAGTTAGGTTGGGTTGAATTGGTAAATCTGCATGACTGCCAAATGCACTCTGGTAGCAGTCTCCTGTAAGAAATGCTGGTCTTGATTTCCCCTTTTGAAAACAATCTTCTACAGTCACGAATTACAAAGAAAATGATGATAGGATGCCGATGACAAGAACAACAGATCATGCTGCAAAATTGACTAAGAGCAAAGCACTTGACTGATGATGCAGATCAACTAATGTGCCTTTTTAGCTTTTTAGCAATAAAACACTAAATCGTTCCAAGAGGAAATGGTTCTATGTTTACTTCATGTTAGGAATGGTGCTCAGCAACGAGTTTTTCAGGTAATTAGATATTGGTAAAACAATTACACAAACTTGGACAAGCTTCTGTAGAAAATGTGTTTCAAGAATTCGTTTTCAAATGTTCTAATTCAAGCCCAATTTTTAGACTCCTTTCTGCACTGGTGCATTTATAACTCAACTGTGTAGTTACTTAGTTTACAACTCACCGGAAGTGTCCCTGGCAGAGCAGCATCAAAATGTGAAACCAAGGAGTTGGGCGGAGCCATAAACTGTACCTTGGAGGCAGAAAACAGCTTGGATTTTGATGCAATTTGTGCATGGATCTCAAGGCCAATAACACTCTCCCATTCACTGGAATCGTTCAAAAGCCTGTTGGGCCTACATGTACCAAAACAAGTAACAGCATTCTTGGAATCAATAGAAAGCCTACAAAGTACATGTATGGGTAAACAGAAAAGGAACTGGGTTTGAAATTACCCTCCCTGGCCTTGTTGCTGTGAATCACAGTATTTGTCATAATTCACTCATATCTTAAGATTCAGCTGCCATGGTCATCGAAACTCGGAAATAGGCCTACCAGTAATAGTTTCCTAACTTCAGAGGATCACCAAAACTTGGAATATCACCTTTCTTTAGGGGATCACTGAAACTTGGAATATCACCTTTCTTTAGGGGATCACTGAAACTTGTAATATCATCTATCTTTAGGGGATCACAAATTCCATTTGGAGGCGTGTTAACTTCTCGGACTTCCATGAATCACGTGACTGAGACTGTCTCTGAGTTGTGTGTAGTAATATCATCTTTGCTTGCTTGATGAGATCAGACTCAGAGAGAGATGATGTAGCAGGCCCGTGCCTTGCCCGAGTTTTCTATTCCTCAGACCTATGTCAGACTACCGGTAAGTCTGTACGTACTCCCAGAATTGTGAGGCCCACGGCTGTAGAAGTCACTATCACGACTACCGTGCGTTTACATGCATCATGAACAGATGAACATGCCTTAACTAACCAAGCAAACGTTACGCGTACATGAACTAACACGTGTGATGTGATTGCCTAGCGTTAGAAATTGTGCTTGCATTGTAATTGAAGCATTACCTTGGATTTAAAGTTGTACTTGTTGTCTTAAATCTACAACATCTGAAGAACAAAAGGTGCACAGTTCGACTCTTCACCCAGATTTGGGTTTCTTTCGCTGAAAGTATTCGAACACCAAACATTTTCACGGAAGCCGCCATGTTCAGATCTGTGCAGACGACACATCGCATCATATCCATATCCCATTATCGAAAATGCACTAGCGCCCTCTGTCTGTTAGTGACTCTGAGGGACAATTGAGGTATCCTGAGGGATGAAACTTGGCTGAATTAGCCTCAGCCCAGTTCATCTCCGCCCCGCCCATCCCTTGCGCAAATCTTTACCAGTCCTTGTCAATTCTCTTTGACATCACCTCAAACCTCCTTCAAAACTATCTCTGTCTGTTATTGGTTTTATGATACTGTCAGCCTAAATCTTAAAAGAACCAGGGCCGAACTGCTTGATTGTCTGCAACATTTTCCTCCATTTTGTCGATAGGCATTTTTTTTCGTAGATTGAGGAGGTTTTCCAGAAGTGCACTACAATCATTTTAACACCAACCTCAAGAAAATCAGCCATTTTTCCAAGACAAGTCGACAAAAATGTCAACAATATTAAATGACGTGCTCTATGCACGCCGCCGACGCATGTTACCAATGAAAAAAAAAAAAAGATGCCGTAACGAGACTTCTTAGCAGGAACAACAGCAGCCGAAAAGCCCAGGGAGTCACTCTCACCAAGCTGTGAAATGGTGAGAAAAATGGCCTTGCTGAGATCCTACCACAAGAAAATTACTCGAAGTATGAAACGAAAACGTACTTCACCTCCGCTTTTGTTCTGGCTACTGTCTAGCAAGCTCCAAACAAAAGAGAATACCACCCCCATTGTACAGTTGCTACTCAAATAATCACAAGTTTGGCAAAACAAAAACTTACAACATTTTTGGCAGATCCAAAAAATAGAAAGAACAGCCTGCTGCTGTCTTTGACGAGGGATGGGGGGATGACTTGCCCGACCATGTAAATTTGAAACTTTTCGGGAGGGGGAAGGCTGACACCATGGCACAATCCGGTTCGTACAAGTGATTTAGTCATACACGCGCACGCACCACGAATTACACGCTCCCATTGGATGAACTGACAAAGTTGCGCGTTAAGTTCCTAGTGAATAAACTTTGGTAGTTGGGAAGTCCGAAAACTTCTTCCAAATCTGCTTTATTTTTTTCTCGCCACGAAAAGCGGAGTCTTCCGTCTCCCCTGGTCAAAAAGATTGTGCTGACCTTACTACGGTGGACTTGTGAACAAAAGATGCCAGAAAGGAACACGTTCTGTGGACTAGGACCCATGTCCACAGGACGTTTTCCCTTCCCTGAAAAATACGTTTCTGGGAGGGGGTTGGAACAAGATCAATCAAGGAAACATTTTACAAAAATCCTGCTGAAAAATCATGTTTCAAGTACTGACAGGCAAATTAAGTATCAAGTCTTCCTAATTGTACGGAAACAAGACTGACCACACTAGGTTACGGTTTACGTATGTCACGATGTCTGTGGGGGCCCGGGGGTAGCCTCTCCCCAGTGATTTACGCCCATGGTGACGTTAAATGGAGCGCACGTTAGGAAGTTAACACTCATGGAAACTTTAGCTTTTTAGTGCTCACGGTTTACCAACTTTATCAAACAGACTTTATTAATGGGGGATCTTGGAACCAGTTGCTTGTTATATTTTTCTTCTTCAAATGAATGTTAAGCCTTTTAAAGCTACATCGAAATACATGTACCCTTCAATAATGAGCTGGCTGAATCAGAGTAAAGGGCGTCAACATGTACTCGTAAACTTGGTGACCGTCTATAAATTCTCCATACCACTTTCCAGCAAAGCGCAAGGCCCAACATGAATATTCATAAGCCTGTCCATTGCACGCATGAAATGTACGCAAAGTTGTATGGTGCCTGGGCTTCGATCCACAGTCTGTCATTCAGATCAATGAAATGAAAACACGGTACCGGCCGGATTGGCAAGCCAGTATCATTCTGCTAGCTAGCTGTATACTAGCTAGCTAGGAAGAGCACAACGCACTCGTTGAGTTTAGTTTGCTTCTCACGAATTTTGCTCCGTTTGGAGCACAGTCGTTTGAGAAACCATCATATTTCGTTCAAGTGGATCAATAGTGAACTTTACATCATTCGTTATTGGCGATCGACGGGATTTACAGGACGATTTTACAGAATAGATTGGCGGCGGTTGTAAAGGTTAGTTGCCTTGCTGTCATGTCTGTTCAGGCGCAAGACTGTACATGTACATGATGTTGTGAGCACCAAGCAGTGCCAAGTGTTGATCAACGATGCCCATTCGACACAACCACTAAAGAGTAAAGTATGCACATCTTTTGCTTGTTCGAACACTGGTATAAATGGTAATTTTTCATTGATTTCTTTTGTCTTAGACAGCGTTCTCTTATTTCAAGGAATTAAAATTAAATAAGATTTTTTTCACTTGTTTTATTTTTTTTTTTTTTGATTTATATTTCAAATATTTGTTATTTTTGTTTTTGAGAACCTATCCAAATTAAATCATGATCCAATTCTTGTGGCCAGGTACTGTTTGCATGGTTCACATACATGTTGTAGGCCTTTTGATACCTGCTCGAGGTGCCCCAAGGGCCCAACCTAACTCAAGAACCATGCATTAGGTCAAGTAATTTTACACAACCCAAGCTCGTGGAAAAGTTCAAATAGGAAATGTTTGGTATGGAATAAGGGTCAATGACATGTACTGTACTGATTTCCCTGAAATATGATCTTTGAAAATTAAAGAAAATCATGTTCTGAATATTCGTTGTTTGAATGAACCAACTTTAAATGTACACAAATGTAGGTTTGTTAATTTTTCATGAACTTTGTAGAAAACAGAAAAAGGTCCTAGCCCATCTGAGCTTAAGTGGAATTTACATAATTTTACATGTCTGTTTGTTACAATTTTTCTTTTCCTTTCTTTTATTTATTTTTTTTGCTTTTGCAGCAGTGAGCTCAGGATGGGGGAGCTGAAAGCATGTGCCATTATGCAGGATTGACAAAGTGTCATCATGCACCAGGAAAGTACTTTCAAAGGTGCACGTTCAAGTTCCAGGAGAGTGGAGAATTTCAGCTTCAGAAGTGATTCAGTGGCAACACCTTTACATTAGAAACAATCTTTGTTCAATGATAGCCAAAAAGAATTTTGTTTGATTTCACAAATTGGAACGTTAAAAGATGAGGCGTGTTTCGCTGGGCCCAGACGTGGCCTTCGTGCTGCGTTTTGGGTGCAGCAGGACCGATGTTAGACCACACTGCGTGCTATGGTGGAAGACAGAGACTCTGGTCTTCGTCTTCATGACTTGCATTGCCTTGTGTCTAGGGCAGGAGCAGACACCAAGCATTACCTATAACATTGAAGAAGGGTTACCGGTTGGGACCCAAGTTGGGGACATTAGTGTTGACCAACAGATAGCTGGGCCGTACTTATCTGTCCATGTCCCTGCCGACTATTTAGAATTCACTCAAGATGGCATCATAACCACTAAAGCAGTCTTGGACCACGAGCAGGAGAGTGTGTTCGATTTTTTTGCACTGCCAATCACACCAAACCCTCCTCAGATTGCAATTAGAGTCAGTGTAACTGATGTAAATGATAACTCCCCAGTCTTCCCAAACTCTGAAATCGACCTAGATCTGTCAGAATCTACTCCAATTGGTGCCAAACGATCCTTGGACTCAGCTAGAGATGCGGATGATGGAATTTTCAGCACACAGGGCTACCGGATTCTCTCCGGTAATGTGGACAACAAGTTTGAATTAGATTTCCGAACAGCGCCAAATGGTGAAGTCTTCCTCGATTTGGTGATTAATGATACCCTCGATCGGGAAACTACCCCAAACTATACCCTAGTGATTGAAGCTTATGATGGTGCTTCGCCTCCAAGACTCGGAAACATGACTGTGAATGTTAACATCCTTGATATAAATGACAATCCTCCAGTTTTTGCCCCAACAAGATATTCCTCAACGGTGAATGAGACCTTGGCAGTTGGAAGTCCAATTCTTCAGGTGACAGCATCAGACGCCGATGAAGGCATCAACGGAGCTGTTATGTATGAAGTGCTTCCCCAAAGTGATCCCAATGAAATCTTCGGCATAGATCCCAACACTGGGTGGCTCTATCTTAACAAGGAACTTGACCACGAATTATTTGATTCGATAGTCCTCGTTATCATGGCAAGAGACAGTGCAACTCAGCCGGAGAGAAGCTATGCGTATGCCACAATCAACATCTTGAATGTTAACGAGCAGCCGCCCAACATCAACATTGTCTTCCTGAGTGAAGACGGTGAACCAAAGATATCGGAGGCTGCCGTACCTGGAGATTTTGTAGCCCGAGTCTCAGTCAATGATCCGGACGAAGGAGACCTCACTAATGTGAACGTTACCTTGATAGGTGGAGAGGGAACGTTTGGCATCATGACACGTAACAACATCATCTACCTGATCTGCCTTCAGAGTAGTTTAGACCGTGAACTGATCCCAAGTTATGATTTATCCATCACTGCACGAGATTTTGGGATACCACCTCTCCACACACAAGTGGACATCACCATCTATGTGGAGGACATTAATGACAACCCGCCCATATTTGACGAAGTAGAGTACTCTGCCTCCATTCTGGAGATCGTGGAGAGGGGTTCAATGGTTACTCAAGTTCATGCTGATGATGCGGATGCTGGGATGAATGCAGCCGTCACTTATCAGATAGTGAATGAACCCGGGTCGTACTCAGAATGGTTCACCATAAACAGCGAGTCTGGCTTGATCACCACAGATCAGCTCATTGATCGTGAAACCGTTGACACTGTCAGACTTACAGTTCAAGCATCAGATGCTGGCATTCCATCGTTTTCAGCCAATGTGACAGTTGTCATCTCACTCCGTGATGTCAACGATAACCAACCCCAGTTCCTGTTGTCATCCTACAATGCCAGTATACCTGAAGATACCAACATCAACACATGCTTCTTGCAGGTCAGTGAAATTTGAACTCTTGTCATAAAGGATTTGTTTTTCTCATCAAAAGTTAACGAATATTTTCTTCACAGTTTTAATAAAAATTTGGAAGTGTGTCTACCGCCCCATATGTTTTCAAGGTAAGACTACCATGAACATGAACATTGTACATGATCAGATATGGTTGCTTGTATACATGTAGAGTGCGATCATCCCGTATGTGTGTGTGTGCTCTACCATGTCTACTTGGTTCTGATCTTATCAGTTGGCTGTCAGTTGGTAATACAGGAAGTAGTTGATTACTGCCACAATTCGGAAGGTACATGCAGATCAGCCTTTCAATCTCTCCACTCTACATGCTGATTTATTGGAGTGGTGAAAGAACAAAACCTGAAATACACAAATTTAACTTGAAGCAAGGTTTCGTGAGACATTGAAGTTCGAAGTTCGGGGAAAATTGGTTAGTTTCTGGAAGATTTGTATTGTGAGCTTGTGGGTAGGGGAAAAAATGTAAACTTTGCTCCAAAGTCGAAACAGTGCATTACTTGGAGGTTCTTCGAGTCTTGGCTTTTCTCTCAGTCTTTGATTTGTTCATCCAAATTTTCATTTGGACACTTTGGTGACGTATAATGGCAGATTCTTTCTTTGACCAGACATTGCTCCTCTGTAATTCCCATTTTTATTCTCATTAGCAGTATATAATTTTCCTATTAAGTGGGTTTCTTCATTTAATGGGTGCAGTGCTGGTTGAAGTTAGAGTAGCTAATTTCTTGCAGGGGCTTTATTTTGCCAGCCAGAATAGCTGATCACAAAGGATGTAATGGGATGCTTTCTCACCCTTTCTGTCTCTATTATGTGTCCTGATTGTGTTTCTCCACTGTTGCCAAACAGCACCCCAGTTAACAAGAGACAGTTGACTGGGTAATCCTCATTATGACCAGCCCAAGATTGGGCAATAAAAAAGCCCTCTTTTCTGCTTGGTGAAACCAGAGCAGCATTCTGTTTCTTTGTTCAGCTTAGATGAACAAAAGGGTTGAGCAGCTTCCTTCCAAGGATTAAATTCTTCAGGGGATCAAGAAATACCTGGAGCGATGCCCAGTTGATTCTGTGTGCTTTTCACTTCCTAGCATTAATTTCTGAAACCTCATGAATGTTGTGATGGATGCTGAATGCTGTTGAAATTCATTCAATGGTGAATTAGTCATGGCCATTCACTAGCCAAGACTGGGTTGCTTGAAGACAAAACCTTGAAAATCTTTTCACAAATCAATACTTTCAGGGTGTCTTTTCAGTACCATGCACCATGTGCAAAGTATTTTACAAAGAATTTTGTTGGATTCATTACAAGCAAACGTTTGTAATACCATTGCCTTGACATTCATATCCAGTGGAAAAGGTTATATATTAACATACCACTACATACTGGTATATAGACTGTACATTGTAAATGTCCAACAAGATGGAAACTCTTAAGCTTCATGTCAAACCAATTTTCCTTGATCTATCATCAGTAGTCACCATGGGACTGGAATACATGTAACTTGTATGCAGACCTCCTGGACTGCATGAACATGCAATATAATTTTTTGGCAAAAGCCATTCATGTTTCTTTTCCTTTGGGATGAATGAAAAAAAATTGTCATGTTTTGTGGGTTGGCAATCTAGTTGTGTGATATAATGTAACATTAAATCACAGGAGTGTCAGATTTCCCATGTTGTGTGACCTTTGACCTTGGATTTACCCTGTGCCTCGAGCCTGTAAGACACCTTGTCATTTCCTTAGATTTACGATTAGCATGTGTTTTGTTCCAATTGAAATTGAAAACCACTTGACTCAGAAAAATATGTTCTTGGCACGCACATCAAATCTGGTCATTCTTATTTGTAGTAAATTTGAGCTTAGATGTTGCCATGGATTCACGCTTACCTCTAGTAGGAAGCTACAAATCAAGCATACATAAATGCGCCCAACAGTGCAGTGTATTATCCTGTTTGTTAATGTTTTAACTTTTTGTGTGTGCAAGTTTGCTCCCGATTTAATTCAGTTCTGTTGTAAGGATTATTCATTTTCCTTCTGAAAAGATCTGTACAGTAATTTTCATTAATTTAAGTCTGTAAATGTTTTAGCAATTGGTGTACTCAACTCCACATGAACACCACAGGAAACATCACAGAAAAGTAGCCAATGACACTTTTCAAACTTCCTCCCCTGGAAATCAATTTGCACCAATTTTGTCAGTCAGCCACAAAAACATGCCTGACTTTTCGGGATGTTTGAGCCACAGTGTTACTGCAGGATTGTTGCCCTAGCTTTGTGGCATTCCTTGTGCCCAACTTGTTGCTTATTCGGTTTAATCCCCGTGCCCGGATAGAGCGGTTGGCTTACCATTGTCACACATCAGGCCTCCACTTCTCTCCCTTGAGGAACTTGTTTGCCTAGTAGTATACTTTTGAAAAGATAGTATTGTTCAGAATTCCTGAGTGTGTTTGCACTTTCTGGACCATTGTGTTTGCTGCCATTGTGTCCATCATGGGACAGGAATGTGTAGGAAAGCTGAGGGGCATGGCTGTAGATGGTCTTTTGTCTTATTGCATTCGCAAATAAGTATGCATAGATGGCTGAAGAATACAGTGTTTGAAGGGTTCCCATTTTATGACTGTTTCTTGGTTGACAGGTTAAAATGAGTCATTCTGTTTGTTAAGACAGTTTGGACACTTCGACCAGGCAGTGGTTGTTCTCATAAAAACTGATAAAACCTCCCCATGTCCCTGACATGTGTCAATATGTGTTGTAAAACAAGTGGTCATCAAGAAAACAAACAAGAAAAGGAAAAAGACATGTACACGTACCTTTGACTCAACAATTTGCTAAAACACCAGTTATCCAGTACAGACCTACTTTACATGCATGTACATGTACAGTACATACATGTATATGGCACATCTACATGTACGTGTGTTTGTATACAAAGCATTTCATGTACGGTACATGTACATACAGTAATGTATTTCAAACTTTGTTTTTCACACAGTGCATCTGTGTGGAATGTAATGCTTTTAACTTAAAGTGTGTTGCACTGTCAGTAATTCAGTTCTGGATTTTAAGAAAAGACACAAAGGTCAAACTTTTGAAAAGTGAATACTTTGAACTTATGAAATGCAAAAATTATAAATTTCTGCC